ACATTTGCATGGCGCAGCGTCCATTAACAGACGGCAAATGTAAACAATACCATTTCGACGGCGGCTTAAAAGGAATTGTAGTAGGTATCTATATAAATCTTTAAAATGTTTTCTGTTAGCTCACTCATTATACTGTCTTCAAATTACTAGCTATCACGCCGGCGGTTTGTACTCAACAAATAAATTCTGGGAAATATATCAAAGTTAGATAAGACACAATTCATCACAGACAACGTACGAGAATCGAACCCGCTACTATCTTCAGTGGTATTTGCGGGCTGAACCGATAGACCACCGAGAAAATCAATTTATAAAAATTCCTATTAATTAGATATATAGATACATTAAAATGCTCACTGAATCAGGAAGTGTCTGTAAGACAATCAACAATTATTTTGAATTTGATATTTAAAATAAAGGTAATACAAGATGGTTCTATTAGTATTTTTATATCTTGCCCACTTGGTTTTTTTTTATTAAATAACTAACTAACTAGCCTTGAACAATCCACACTGCGCCATCTAACCAACTCTGCCAACTAAAACATCGTGATAAAATGCCATTTGCCAAAATAGGCTAATTAACCTGACTTTATGCTCATTTCATCGTCCTCCACTGGTGCACCGCTAGCGTAATCGTTAGCGCCGGCGGATTATTATTATTATTATCAACCATAAAAAAGTAAAATTACAGTGCATGAATGCAGTTACACCTAACAGTGTAAATTAACAAAGGTATCCTATCCTACACATCCTAAGCTACAATGCGGTATTTCTATTTGACAATTTAAAATATCTACAACGATAGGTTGATAGGATTAGGTAGGATAGGATACATGTAGATTTTTTATAGGTATCCTTGGATTATGAAGATAAAATGAAAAGCAGTCATTTAAGCATCTATAGCGACTGCAGATAAACGGCCAAAACAAAACCCAATTTTTGTTATCTACAATTCGGGCGTCCGATCATAGTTCCCTATACTACACCTTATTTATATGCTTTGCTATAGTTTTATACCTTATGCTTATAATTATTAAAATTCATGCTACTCCTGAATACTAAAAATAGATCACTAACAAAGAAAATAAATAGACAGTGCTTTTACGTAGCAATATAATAGTATATATATTTTCAATAAAAACTAGAAAGAAGACCATTCGACCCAGAAAATCTATATTAAAAACTTTAAAAAGGCCGGTTGAAGAACTGAACTTTTTGTCATTTACGGGACCAACCCTTGCACATAGGTAATGTTTAACCCTCGCGCGGCGGATGTAAACAAATGTAAATCACGCGTGGCTTCACAACACATGTGCGCTGTCGAGGTTAAAAAACATAAGTTCACGTATCAAATAGTGGCTGAGAAAAAAAGATGGACGTTTTACAACATGCCAGCCTGGATGAGATAACATGACGATAAAAAAAAATATTAATCCATATATTCTAAACTAGATACTAAAAAGAGATAATGTAACTGCAATTATACAAAATTTTATTATACAACGTGCTATATGTATAACCGGAAATCACTGTCCTCACTTTTAGGTGCTTAGTTGCCAGGCAAAGCGAGATGTTTAAGAAGTAGGTATTAAAACTTCTTAAACATCTCGCTTTGCCTGGCAACTAAGCACCTAAAAGTGAGGACAGTGATTTCCGATTATTGCTAAGATACACATTATGTGTAATGGCTTAATGTAAGGTTTCATTCCCTCAAAATCAACAATGTAGCAGCTGTCGTAATCTCTACATGATACAAGTCATATGCTAATGGACAATTAATAAACACGAGCACTTTATGAGGTGCATATATCTCAAAGGTCAAACGAGACAAAAGGATCGAGTTCAGGATGCAGCCATCAGCCGGCCCTTTGTTTTCTTTAAGCTCTAACAAAATAAATATACACAAGACCAAATTGTAACCACAGCGCGGCCACACGCGGGCCTTGTTTGGACGACTCGTCATTGTTCAAATAACATAGTCGAAATACTGCTTAGTCTAAATTCAAGGTACATATTAAAGTTTCCGCAATTAGTTTTGCAGCGCAACATTTTATTGTCTTTGTAATGGGACGACGCTGCATCATTACTTTTATATGTATCACAGATAACATAATATTATAATATGTAGATACTAACCTAAACAAACAAATCATCAAAATTCTTCGTACTGGACAATACTGCGCAAGCTAATATGAAATAACATGACTTATTGCAAAAAGATTTACACTTTTTAATACAGAAACACAAGTGCAAAAAGTGAAATATTTTGGTAAAATTACATCCTATGTAAATTATTATATAGGAAGACGATCCAAGTATATCGCTATGACATAGTTGCGATAATTACAAAATATATAAATTCCTCCTTCTTCTAGTTGTTTATTCATGTTTTTCATGTTCTTGTAGTTTATTGCATATTAAAGAAATATTAAGTTCATGAAAAATTTATATATTATTATGAAAAGAGGATTTAAAATTTGAGCAATTTAATTAAAACACTAACCCTTATTCTTAATATAATGGTTTAATATACAGAGCTATAATATGAATGGACTGAGCTGGAATGGACTTAAAAAAACACCTATACACAATTTATGCTACAGACAGTTCCCTTTGTCGGGGCTGCTTTGAAGCTGAAGAAACGGCGGCTCACGTGAAGTGAAGTGCGCGGCAGTGGCCCCACAACGAAAACAAATCCTCGAAACAGTGAAGTCACTCCGTGAAGCCTGTAAAGACACCAGGAGTCTTCTGCGCTTTTGGGAGGAGCTTGGCTGGCTACTTTAGTAGTCTGGCTCTGCACGCACAATGGCCCGAATGAGAGGCTAATTGCGGAGACTGGATCCAATATACAATACAATGAATGGACTGAGGGATCACAATTCATAATAGTTTCCATGGGGTTTGCTGAAAGTCTAACTTATTGGGTATGTCAGTGTCAGACATTGTTATGAGAGCACGTTTCTAATTTCAAATATATAAGTTATTTTAACAATTATTACGATTCCATCAAAATTTTAAATCATTTAACTCCTTGCAACTAAATACCAAAATTAATAAAAATCAAACAAACTTTGAAATTGCTGCTCCATGAAAATCTCCTCTATGCACCGAACAGAACATATACATACATAGACAATACTTACTTACTACCTATGATGACGTTTCAAAACAATGTACATCTAGTACTGTACAGAGCTTCAAGCCGTTCAATACTGTGCGAGTAGGAAGACATGCAGGAAATGCAACTATCTGAAACGGGATGCATTTATATCGAGTTTCTCCTCACTAGTCCTGGTCTCCTGGTAGATAGCATACGATTCTCTTTATATGTATATATTACACCTATGTTTATGCATTTATTGTAAAACTTTAGATTGATATGAAACTGAACTGAAATATTTGGCCGACTTACAATTAATGTCTAAAGGTATTCTATGTATGTATTATACTTGTCTCCGTTCATACTTATTTATTTTAAGAAGTATAATTAAATAAATAATATCCATTGACAATTAACACAACGCCATCTAGTTCCACGGTAAGCAGAGCTTGTGCTTGTAAATACTTAGATATTTTGTTTTTGTAATTACATGCATAATATACATAAAAAAACACTCAGACCGATTATACTCAGGAATACAAATGTTTGCACCGTGCGAGAATCCAACCTACGACTATCGAAAATAAAGCGATTTACTGAACCGCTACGCCACCGACGCCATCAGTATTATTTATTTTATAAAAATACAATTCTGTTTAATTATACTACTGACTTTCTGAAAGTAATCTTATTACTTAAAAGTTCCCAAAAATAAGTACTTGCATTTAATTTTAACCAAATTTATGTAAATTTGGTTAAAATTAAATGTTACCAAGTTAATTTATTAATTTCAGACTTACTGCCACAAAAAAGACTAATATTTCACCAAGAAACGCAAACAGCATGCACAAAAAATACAGTGGAATTTAACCTCCTGTTTAAAATCAATTCGTATACACTAAACTCTAACACCGATAAATGGAATTACAAATGAATTGCTATCCTCTTGAATATGTAAAAAAATCATCAGTGATATTTTTTGTTTTCTATGTACTAAAAGGTAATGGGGTTTTGTAGATTTGTCAGTGTATCCATTTGTTTTTATTAGTAGCACATATTTATATCAATCATGTAAAAAGACACTAAATTATATTAGGTTATATTTCATGTTTAATTGTACTGAAGTTAACCTACCAAATTATTTGTCAGTTAAAACAGTAGCCCCGCTGGTATGTGTAAGACTGCATTTAAGTGCAGTGCCACATAATCTATATCTCCGTGTTGCATTTTTTCCATTGTTAGTTTAAAAAAAAGCAAATACTACTGGCTATACGTACATAGAGTCTATTAAACATCGCTATCAGTGTTGTTTTAAATGTCTTAATAATATTTCAGTGGATATTTCGGACAAATGAATATAGGGATATTTGGTCGAAATAGACATTTCAACAGACTTCTCTGTTCTAGGGAAATATTAAATAATTAAAATAAACGATACGTGCCTTCGGTGTGATCTTGTATGTTTGTATCTAATATAACGTGTCTAGATAGTACATTTTAGTATTATCGTAGAGACATTGAAATACTGAATGCGGCGCAGTATAAATGATTTCATACCTAAATAATCATATTATAATATAATATATTATAATCCTCCAAGCGAAAAAAAATTTATTTATTTTTTAATCCGAATATCTATCTGTCCGGAAAAGCAGCATCACATACCGTATAGATTTTTTTAATTTGTCTATGAACCCATTGGATTATACACACACAATTTCATCGATCTAGCCGTTTAGGAGGAGTTAGGTTACAAACACAAGCACAGAATAATACCTGTATAGAGATATCATTTTCCAATAGAGAGTTAATTGATAGTAGTGTATAAAAAGTATATTTTTAATATACAACAAATGTATTCTTATACTAGTATTACTAATAACTAGAACATGCGAAGACGTGAACCGGTTTACAATGACAGAACGTTATCGGGGAGCACAGGATGCGATTGATAACCAAAAGGATTATGCTCTGCTGTACGTTGCCCAGGTTCATTGCCAAGTTCCACTGCAAAGTATACGCTCTCGCCATCTTGAACCGGCTGCAAACTCGCCATATTCAAAAACTCCATCGGATTCTGACGGTGCAGAGCTTGCGAGTACTGATCCACGAGCAGTTGATCCGTATCACCTATGTGCGATCTCATATGAAAATTTAGATGACTGCTTTGCTTAAACCTTCTCCCGCATACTGAACATTTAAAGGGCTGGATATTTGTATGTGTACGCATATGCTGACGTAAATGAACCGACTGCGAGAAGCACTTGCTGCATATCACACATTTAAACGGCTTTATTTTCGTATGGGTACGCAAATGCTGATCAAGACCAGCCTTTTGCGTAAAAGCTTTCGGACAAAAAGTGCATCCGAACGGGCGAATACCTGTATGCATCCGCATATGCTGTTGAAGACCGCCTTGTTGAGTAAAACGTTTGGCGCATATAGAACATTGGTGGGGTTTCATCTTTGCGTGGGCGATGCGATTATGGGCATCATATTCTGTACCATTTACGAAGGTCTGGCCACATATTTGACAATAATAGGTCAATAGATTCACAGCTTGAATTTGCGCTGCGATCGAGGTATCCGAGTAGACGTCTCTGTCGAGTGGCTTCTCACACACTTGGCAACGCAGAGCAGCTTTGCGTCTCTTAGTGTGCTCTTCCCGGTAGTGTAGAGAATAATCGCAGCAGTTAAAAAATATTTGACGGCACTGTAGATCTGGACGTAGCGTTGATGGAAAAGTGCACGTAAAAGGACCCCTGAAAGATGAATAAAATGCAATTGAAAACATTGCTTATGAATATTATAAATGCTAAAGTCTATCGGACTGTTTGTTGCCTCTTCACGACAAAGGAGCTGATCTAATCCTGATGACATTCAACGTGAAGATATATTGGATCTGGTGATCACATATATGCTATCCCTTATTACAAAAATGCAAAAGTAAGCCACAGGTAACAACTAGAACGTCACTATTGTTGCCGAGGTCAAGTATTCATATCCAGAATTTATGTCAAAACTGACTACCCTATTTTTGTTTATTTTGAAATATACCTCAAGTCAACAGGGGGTTTTCCTGGCTTATTCTGAGTTCGTTTTAAAACACCCCCCATCCGGGATCTCTTCGTACACTCGACGTCCATGTCACCTCCTTCCACTTTCACCAACAAATACGTTGTATCCTCATTGAAAAGACGCGTCATCAGACCGTCCTGAACTGTTACATCAGCAGACTCCTCATAATTTCTTAATGGTATAAACTTGAACGCACTTAGATCATTATACACCTAATAAATGAAAAATTTATCAGTTTTCTTATAATATAAAGATATACTTATCTGGGGGACAAGGGTTGTTAGTTCACAGCCATCGTAAGCAATGTACTTAGTCAGGTTGACTTCCACGCAGTTCCTCCTGGAAATCTACCTTGATAAATTCCTGGTGAGTTTGTCACGACGGGCTCACAGACCTGACCTCGTACTCATCTTAGCATCCTCCACTGGTACCCCGTCAGGGTAAACCATTAGCGAAGGTAGGTGCACCATTCCATAATCATCCATAAAAAACATAGCCACTCGCTCACATTTTTAAGGGATGAATACCTATCATAGTAGATATTTAATTACAATTTACAATCCTTACAAACTCTTCAACTTTGTGAAAAGTAGTGTCTGTGACTTCTCATTATTAAACCATTAATACGCTGTTATTTCGGACCGCGGCTTAGCCCAAAGTTGATTCCATGTTTCCATGACAAACTAATAAGTATTTTTTAATAAAACTATTAAAATATATGGATATATGGTTTTCTTAACATACCTGATCGCTCTGTCGCAAAACATTCTGCTCGTTGTCACTACTGGACCCATTGTTATCGTGCTGCATATTTTTATGATTTTGCAAAGCTGTCGCATTATAAAATGTCTTTTTGCATATACGACAAACATATTTTGGGAAGGATTCTTCTTCCCAGAGCAGTGAATTCTAGAAATATTAAATTAAGTAAGTAGTCGAGTACATACGTGTATATGTATATCCAATGAAATTAAAAATATTTCACGCTTGAAGCAGATAAGTATCTAACGCAATTAGATACTAGATAGGTTCAAAGGTGAAATAAGTGTATATAATACTATCTGACCCCGCAAATGTTGTTTTGGCATATAAAATCGCTATTAAGAAATAGTGGTTGACGATAGAAGGGTGAAAATTTAGGGTATATAATGCGGGATTAAAGAATACATACAATTTATTAAAGCCGTATTATAAAACAAAAAATAAAAATGTTAAATGTGGAAATCTCTTATCACTTCACTAAGTGGTATTAAAAATAGATCTCAGGCCTACTGAATAGGCATATAAAATTTCATAAATATCGGCAAGTCGTTTCGGAGGAGTACGATAACTAACTAATTGTGACACGAGAATTATATATAGGATATATCTAATGTATTAGCGCGATTGATTCTTTCTCAAAGAGCAATAGGTACTTGAAATAAAAATTCAAAGATTTCAGTAGCTATGTAATGTTTTACATACCTATACATACGTATAATTGGAATGGCTAACAAACTGACGGATACCTTTTTGGTAAGGGGATTGTTAGTAATGTGGACTAATATATAGCTCCATTGCTAGCAGTGTGGTCAGGTTGAGATCCACACGATTCCCCCGGGAAACCATTGCGACAAATTCCCAGCGTTTTTTTATTAAATTTATTTTATTTAATAAAGACTACTTTATTAATATACATACTAAAAACTTCGTGATGGCCTAACTGATATGACCTCATGCGCAACTTATCATCCTCCACTGGTGTCCCGCCAGCATAAACCCTTAGCGCAGGCTTGTCAGGTCAGATAGCCCATCGTCACAAAGTCATCAGTAATTTATCACGATAGTTTCCACGGGAAACCGCGTGGAGTTCAATGGTACTTTGCTAGCAATCGGATGTACAATACACAATACTATTTACTCAGTATTATTATTAGTATTAAATTTATTAGCAATTTATTATTACGTATTAGTCTGAAAAAATAGGTCTGATGCAGTAATCTGAGGCAGTGACAAAAAGAATAAGGAAAAAGGAATAAGGCGAATATAGGTACAACAACATATAAAACTGAAAAGTATTGTAAAGATTTCAACAATATGTTACCTGTATAGGCTTTGTAATAGGTTGGGAAAGAATGGTAGATTGTGAAAACTGTTCCGCATATACATCAAGGGAATCCATGTCTATCCTGTAAACTATGAACAATTTTAACTGGCTATAGGTACATATGAATAAATAATAATCCAAGTAAAGAAATATATATATATATAACTACCTATTTTACGTACGTTTTAGTTTATAGCTGTAGGTACTGTGATTAAGATTGATTTCAATTTTAAATAGAAATTAAAAAAATTATAATTATATGTTTTACTTGATGTTAAAAAAATCCGCCATTTTCCATGGACCTACTTTAAATTATGCAATAATATTTATTATATTTAAATACAGAATATTTAAGATATCTTTGAAATAGTGTTTGTTTGAACAACAAAGAGAAACGTTGTATGTAATATTAAAGGTTTTTAAAATAAATTATTGTATGAATAAAATATCAGTTTGAGATGCTGACAGAATCTAATTATTATTCTTTTGTTATATTTATATGGCATTCACTATGAAGATCCTGTATAAAGAACAGACTCTGAAAATGGGTTCTCTGTGTACACTAGCATTCCATTTACTGAAATACAACTAGTATATCTGTTGGTTATTTTTAAATATAAATATAACAAAGTATATATGCACGTTAAGTTTAAATATATAATTTTTATCGATAATTTTAATGATTATATGAATATGGATACGATAGACGTACAGAATTTATATACTCAAACATAACAAAATCAATTAAATAAATAATAAAATAATTTTTATTGGTTCTGTTTTTCTTTTAGAAAAGGCAAAAGAACTGTGCCCATACAGCTAAATAGTGGAAGGAACTTGGTGACTGCCATCTAATAATCGCCTGACATTGACAACTCTGTATTTAACACTGACTGCTGACAGTGACATCTCACAACACGCACTATGTACTGTTGTGATTGTGATTGAATTAGCTTAGCATTTCTCTTTTTAGTTTGTAATTGTGACACATCACACCCAAACCATACAACTTTTATCGCCAACTATCCGCTGCTATTCGTTTTGTTTGCCACGTATTTCCTTACTTGTGCTTGCATGAAAATATTTCTATGTACACTTGATAAAAATAATTATGGCGGGGTCAGCACTAAGGAGGCTCATGGCTGAATATAAACGTGAGTTAAAAAACTTAAACAATGGTACAATTATCACCTAAAAGTTAAGTAACAATAGCAATACCTTGATGACCCGGTGAACTTCATATCACCTACATTAATTTTTCTTGCAACTTTTGGCGGTTATCGGTCCAAATCAACCTTCAAACTGCTATTTATGTCTTTAGTCTTCACTGATACAGACCATCTCTCATTCAACTGACTTCGACGACATATGGCAGATCATCTTCGGCATTTTAATGATTTTATAAACCTGCACATAATTACTTTCATAATCATAAAAATCAAATTTTACTTTGAAATTTTAAATCAATTAATATTGTATATCACCTCTAACAACATTTTTTAATTTAATATAATGTTCTAATTTGTAATACTGATGCATGGGATTTTCATTTATTGTTAAACATAGGCAACCATATCAGTAAACAAATACAACAAATACTCTTAAAAAAAATTGCCAGTTCTTAATTGCATATATACTTATACAGAATTGGATGGTAGGGAAAAAATATTAATACAAAGAACTTGACTTTCATAAGGTATTAAAATACATGAATAAATAATTATTGAGTAGCTTTCATTAGAATACAAATTTTTATTAGGGATTACATTACAAGGAATATCTACGGCATCCACATGCAACGGGCCAGAAGAGAGGCTGATTGCGGAAAATAGAGTCCAATTTACAAGGAATATCCACACTAATTTGTGGTTAATAATGGCAATATTTATATAATTATAGTAAATGAAATATAAATTTATTAAATGAATGTAAGTTGGTGGGTCCAAATCCTGCCTCTGATTAGTTAAATTACATATATTTTGTTTTTGATTCACGAAAAACAAAGCATATGGTAAAATAATATTATACAAAGAATTGGTAAATCATAAGATTATTATTGAATATCTTTGGTAATAAAGAAGTAATAAAAAAATAACTGCATAACAAATTATTGATTAATGACATTCCTTTAATATATAATTTATGTGTTTATATATGTATAGTGTTTATATATAAGTATGTGTAATTTATATTAACACATTGATGGACAGTAGAACAAGTGAAGTTCGAAAATTGACACTATATGTTTTTGTAATTATTAGAATATTAGAAGTAGAGTTTTACTTATTCTGCTTAAATAATCTTCATTTTGACACAATTCAAGAGAAAACACGATCACACTACTCCTTTTGCAAGCATGTGTGTACTGAAGCTGCATGTCAGGTGGAAAACAAAATTAAACCTAAATTTGTTTCCAAATGTCATGTCATTACACTTCTACTTGTATGCCAGTAAATGCACATTTGTGCAACTATAGCCACACTGTCCAAAAAGACTGTTTCTTTGTTTTAGACAGTTATTTCCATTATGTCACATTGTGAACTTTGCTTTGACGGCTATAGAGCAAGTGTCCATAAACATGTTAACATACCTAAACATCAGTAGCCCTTATTAGTGTGCATAATATCATCTAGGAAATGGTTTATCACAAATTATAGTTAGTCATCATTTTGAAATGGGATAATGGGGATAATTCTTCCCTAATATAAGTGTGTCTTATATTAGAGAAGTGTGTGTTGTCTTTATACAGTATATGTGTTGATATAATGGTTGTAATTCTTTATCTTCCTCTCTGTTCTGTGATTTAACAACACTTATATATTACACATGATTTAGTACACTAAATCATGTGTAATATATAAATGTTTTTATTATAAAAAAAACAGATATATCAGATGAGTCTAGATATTCGTTATAATGTAGAAGATACATTTGTTATAATTTCTGCTTTTTTATATTTGATTTACTCAGTGCTATGTTAATTTGAAATGTGCAGATGGGCATATGGTCAGCTATTCAAAATAATACAAACTTGTAATATAGATGTAGTAACCCATAAAAATATACAGTCTAATAATATAAAAGTACAATGTATAATATGTTTCAGAATTAACAATCAACCCACCAGAAGGTATTTTAGCTGGACCTATAAATGAAGAAAATTTCTTTGAATGGGAAGCTTTAATAACGTAAGAGTTTTAGTATAAGATTTAGGTATAATTTATTCATAAATATTATAGTGTAATATTAAGTGTGGTATATTAGGTATATGGAAATGATTTGATTGTTATTAAAATCTTTAAATTCTGTTTGTAACCAATTGATACTTTTCTCCAGTATTTCTTTAGAATATAACAAAAAGACTTAAATGAATATATACAGATAGATAAAGTTCATCAGACAATTTGCAAACAAGGTTAATTAATTGCTTTGCTGTCACACACTATTGCAAAAGGGATGGATTTATTTCTGTAAATATTTTGTATACTATTATATTGCAATTATTTCTGTGTGGTATATATGAACCTTATTATTGTATTTTCAAGAAAATTGAAATTTCATAGTACTTAACCTAATTTTAGTCAAATAGTCTACAGGGAAAAAATCATCCAATATGTATAACAAAGTTCAGTAGTTTTTGAGGTTATTGCAATATACATATGCTTCAGGGGATTATATAATATTTATATTCTATATAATACTGTATATATCCTTAATTTTCTTAGAAACAGAACTCTTAAATTTTGGCTGTACATTTAAGAAAGGTAATTCTATTTGTACTTTTGAATAAAAGTGTTGCATACTGTTGTTGAAAATTAATTAGTATACTTAACACTTTCTTCAAAGGAACTATATGTATTAAAAATATTGTATTTGCAGGGGACCAGAAGGCACCTGTTTCGAAGGTGGAATATTTCCAGCGAAACTGGTTTTCCCTGCTGATTATCCACTAAGCCCACCTAAAATGCAATTTATATGTGAAATGTTTCATCCTAATAGTAAGTATTAACAGAATATTAGCATTATTTTTAAAACAAATAATCGTTATTTATGGTTTATTTCAATTATAATAATCTCCATATACATAACGGATAGTACCACAAATTGTTAAAATTGCAGATAAGTTATCATCATCCTAACAGCACATTATCATCCCAATGATGGACACAGGTCGCTTCTCATTAGAGAAGAAAGGCCTACCATTGCTATGCCGGCGAGGCGGCTTGGTAAAACATTTTATTTCATGTTTTTGTTGGCATCAGTTCATTGTGCTTTTTATTTATTTGCCTCTTATAATATTGCCTATATGATATAGCCTGTCATTTTTCATTGCATATATATATATATAAATATATATCATACCTGTTTCCCATTAGAGGAGGCAGAAACAGAAAAACAAATATTTGATTCAAACAGATTAAACTGTCCGGTAGTTATTTGAAAAACTCTTATTTATTTATTTTATTTAATGTTACACATTCATCATGCTTATGTATAAAATATATATTTATTATGGAATTGATTATTTTATATATGTAACTTTTAAATGTGATTATTTAAAAAAAACATTTTAAAACTTCTTTGAAAAGGAGAATAAAATGTTTTTAGATTTATTATCAAGATAAATTACAAAGAATTGGATTTAGGGCCTCCTCTAAAAATCCTATTCTATGTCCATGTTGTAGGTGATTTCTGTACAATTATATATTTACAAACATATTAAATACATTTTACTGTGTAATATGTTTGTAATTATTTTTATTTATACATCATGCATGTATGAAAGTATGTATTTGCGAATATTTCACCTTTTTTATGTAATTAGAATGGACAACAAGCTGACTGCCCACCTGAATACAAATGAACACAAAGAAGACTGTGGACATCACATTGCTATGTGAGATCTGATAGCATGCATGAATTGCCATTCTAAAGACTAAGATATCATATCTCCTATACTGTGATTTCACTACATTATCTTTATCCTTCAACCGAAACACAACTTACAAAGCAAACTGCTTGGTGGCTGAAATCAGTAAGACAGAGGTTATCATCAAAATAACTTACAGTCGAGCTCGATAAGAGGTGCTATGACCATGTATTTTGACTTGATTGTTACACTTTCACATTGACTCTATAGTATTTCTAACTTGAGTGCAATTTTTTTTATGTATTCGTAAATTATTTCAGTATATGCTGACGGAAGAGTTTGTATATCAATCCTCCATGCGCCAGGTGATGACCCAATGGGATATGAGAGTAGTGCAGAGAGATGGTCGCCAGTACAAAGTGTAGAGAAAATTCTTTTGTCTGTTGTTAGTATGCTAGCTGGTGAGTTTAAAAATTGAGACTATGTATTTTTAACTTTAATAAAGTAAATAATATGGAACACTATCATTCAGCCGAGATACCAAAGTGTTATCCATTACCATGTTTCTATAAACTTCCAAATCATATTACACGATCTTATAAAGTTAAAAGATTTTCAATAATATCCTTTCAAAATACCTGTCAAAGTTACTAAACATACTGCATACCAGTATCGAGAGATGTAAGAATTAGGATGAAACTGGATACTTATCATTCGCATCATTATTTCACAGCCACTAATTAACCTATTTTCTATAGACATTCTATTTCAAGCAATTTCCAACCCTCTAAACATTATATTCTTTATTTCACTTTATAAATTAATAAATTTGTTATTTAAACAGCGCCATTTGGTCACAAATATTTTACTGTAACTGTCTGATATAAACAATTTAATAAATAATTAAAAATATGTAAAGTAGTATTCAACTATTAAGTATATAGATAAATTAGAATATCAATTAGTGTATGAATTTAATTAATTAAATATTTTCCAGAACCGAATGACGAAAGTGGCGCCAATGTAGATGCTGCAAAAATGTGGAGAGAAGACCGGGAAGAGTTCAACAAAATAGCTGAAAGATTGGTCAGGAAAACTTTAGGATTATCTTCTTCCTAATAATAATTAAACTAACACTTACTGTTGCCAATTTATGATGTGCATCCATTACAGATAATTTATTATGTATGAGTGGGAAACTCACGGGTTAGTCGTAAGGGTACAGCAATCAGAAAGCCAAGTAAAATACTCATAAATCTGAACCACTTTCTCTAAGAAACGAAAGTTATATTTTAAAAATTAATTGTGTTCTTTCTATACATGCTATAGGATCATGTGAACGCGTGCAATTTTTACCCTTTCGACTAACACGAATACAACAATGATGCCTTCTGAAGCTGCCTAGCTGGTCATTGTTAATATACAGATAATTATTATGCAATATAATGTGATACAGTTGAATTATGTATAGCTCGGCGTTATAAGTTTATAAATTTATGTACATCATGTTATAAATATTGTTTATCTCTTAATAGTTATTATGTAGTTCATATTAAACTATAGCTTTTTATGACGTTACAAATGGGATTAAATATTCGTGTTCGCTCACTGATAGAGAATATTTTTGGATATTGTTAGTTATTATATAAACTTATTTACATTAGCTAATATCAGTAATAACGGTTATCACATTCAATCTATTTACTACTATTATTAATATGCAATTAATAAATGGAACATTCAGTAAACTTATATGGATACACTTTTAAGAAAACCCATATCCTTAATACACCCTGTAAAACTTTTGTTTAAAATGTTTATTTTAAATATTATGTATGACCTGAACATCACTAAATATATAATAAATAGATTATGTGTAAGTTGATAATGTAGTAGGCAATAAATATTGAATTGTTTGTACATAATTAATACAGATGAGAATATTTTCTTGTTACATATTTTTAAGGTGTAATATTTAGTAGCCGGAGTCTTTACTTAATATTTATTTATTGTTTTGGTGTTTTAATTTGTATTTTGGGTAGTTATTTTTAAACTTTCGTGTTTGATATACATTAATTAAATTATTAATCGGGTCTTAATACGAATAATTTGGCAAATACCTTTATTTGCCATAAAATTATTTGTGTCAACACTCGGTTAATAATTTAAATAATATTTTGGGTAGGTTTAAATATTTTTTAATATACATTATTCCCGATTATAGGCTGCATGCAACCAAACGCCGAAGCCGGCAATATACTGAATTACATACTTGTAATCATTTTAAGATAATCAGGTATTTACGTTGTATGAAGTAGCTCGATACGTTTTCTAAACAGAATTACAGTCAACTATGCGATTTAATTCAATATTGTCGTTTTTTCCGCACAATAACCATCAAATTCATGTCGTATAAACAGAATGTCTTTACCGTACGGAAAAATTTGATGACATAATTACAATGTAATTCGATTAACGTAAAAATATTCATATTTTCCATTTATTTGGCGAAAGATAATTCAATGTACACAATGTAACGTACGAAAGTTACGATGAAGTGGGAATGTTTTACTATAATTCCAGAGAAAAATCACTTCGCTTAGTTTTGATTGTAATCGTAGTTTAATTACTTATAGCACTTTTAATTTATACAACGTTACTATCTGTTATCTGCTTTTTATGAGATGAAAGATAGCCATGCCTTCTTTGTAATGCAGTTTATTGCAATATCGCATTTTATTAAGATTATTTCACCTGTTTACTCGTGAAATGGTAACAAACAGTCAGACAGTTACTTTCATATTTGAAATATTAGTATAGATAGTTTAAAAGTACTTATGCTCACTGAATCCCTCATAAGAAATAGGTAAACATTTGCACCAATCAATGTTATAACATTTCTTTTTGCTTCGCCGTAGTCTGGTAAAAGTTGGCAATAAAACGACCTTGTTAACTCTAAAGAAAAAGTATATCAGAGCCGTCCGAAGTATTGCAAGATAATCTTGAAGAATAGAGACAAATTGTATTTTACTAATTAGTACGGATTCTTATAAAACAGGTCAATTATCACAATTTGAAAATTATTAATAAACATGTTCAATATCTCCCTAATGTGTTTTTTAATTACCTACATTACGAAAAATTTATAAACCTATGAATTGAGAAAGCAAAGTCAGTTGCATTATTCATCATCACACAAGATGGTAAGTGGAAGTAGGGCATTTGGTATTAAATATAATTAATTTTTGTAACATCCTGGCTTATAAGTAACAGACATTTAAAAAACCTAAGAACAAGAGCTACGACTCTTGTTCTTAGGAAATAGCCAGATTAATTTTTTCCCAAATTAGTGGAAGAAAATTGAAATTGGGTGGTCGTAAGGATTTTTATTATATATACATATTATGTAAACCTGTGAACTAACATGAAGAACTGTAAAAAATTATAAAAGATCATTAGCTTCCAAAACACAGAAGTAAGATATTAGTATTAAATCCTATCAAAGTATAAAAAAATAAGAAGGCGAAGACTGAATACACTGCTAAACTTTTATTGATTTTTAACTATTTTTGGGGAAAACCCATAGATATGAATCTAGCAACACAGGCTAGGGCTCTACTCTACATGGCAATGGTTCTGTTCTATTAGCTATGCTATAATGGAATAATTTTTTAACCTAGACCTTTTAAAAAGTTTATTGAACGTTGTCGATTTCTTGTGATTAAAATATATTTTAACAGATTCGTATTGATTCGCCATTTTGAATATTACTTGTAATACATTTTTTATTTATAATATTAAAACTTTATAAGCATTTATTTTTTAGTACAATACAACAATGTGCATAAAGCCTACTTGATTATATTTATTGTTTCACTGCGTAGTTATTTCACACCATGTTGTCTTGATTGAATCAGTTAATAATATCAAAAGGATGGCCCAATTAGAGTTATATACAGAGGCAGACAAGTTGAAGTTATCTAAGTTTACAAAGATTTTGACTCACAAGGTCGCGCAAATAGTGGTTCAGAGCAGACAAGGGAAGAAGATAACTCAAGAAATCAACGCTAGAAATCCTATAGATAATGGGCCTCCGTCTCCTAACAATCAACAATGGGTAAATATTTATTATTATTTTTGGTCTCGTAAAACTATTATTCGTGTTGTAAAATGTTGTTAAAATAAAAGGCCTGCAAAATAATTTGACAGTAGCGAATTTATTTTGCGCGAATTTTAATATTAATGGTTAAAATTTCCATACTTATATTATTCATATGCACTTTTGTACACGACTTAAACTTGTATTCATAGTCACATTTTTCTATGAAACATTACAGCATATTCTACAAATTTAATTTTTTATTTAGAATGATATTGTTACTATGCAGATGCTCATAAACAAAATTTTTGGCCAAATATCTTTAGATTTTTTTGTATGGCAAATTACTGCTATGGTCATCAAGTATAAATAAACCTTAGTTTTTTGAAAATGCTTACTTTTTAATTTTATAGTTCAATTTGTCTATTCCTGATGAGCCTGAAGTTAAGCAAGATACAAATGGAGTACTGAAAGAAGAAATTGTGTCTGCACTATCTAAAGTTTTGTGCATAGAAATATCGCTAAGAACTAGTGATGATGAAGGAATGGTCCTAGAGTTGTGGACGGTGAGAATGGTCCCAAGTTCATCTAATAATGGCATATCCATTCCTACAATTTATTACCGTATGAGTATTATGCTTAAATCTACGTTAACAATATCAAGGATTACACCCGCTTACAAAATGTCTAGGTCCCAACATAAAGAATCCTATAAAATATTTCATAAGATATATGGTGGTGAACCCAACTTAAATTTATTAGGTATGTTTTTTAATCTGTTAATAATATTACTTTTTGAGTATGAAACAATAGAGAGGAAAGAATTACAATTAATCACAAATAAAAAAAAAGGTTTTTTTTATTGTATGTTCATAATTATGTTCAAATAGTGTGCTCTTGATATATGCCTGCTCTCGTATGTAAAAAGTGCTCCATTTATTGAATCTTTTAGTAGTTGACATACATAATGAAGTAAGATTTGTAATTCAGAGTGCATATAGATACATACATATATAACATAGAATCTTATCACTGGATCTGTAATTTGTCGGATTAAAAGGTACTCTTATAAAAAATTCTGGATTATAGGAGATCTTTTAGTCCCCTTCTTTAATCAGACAAATTTGATTGTCCGACATTGTCCTGCAAAACGTTTGTTGGATAACCAGGGGTCCACTGTAGTTGGCATTATCAACCAGGTTTTAAAAATAATTATTCTTCTGCAGGTGAACAATTTAAAAGTATTAAAATAAGTGATCTTCAAACACCAATAGGCACTATATACATAGATGTAGTGTACAGAACCAAAATGACAATACTACCTGAGGACAAACCCAAAATAGCTTTATCTTCAACTGTTACTACAACTGTTAATGATATCATGGTGAAGAGTGACCATTTTTATGAAAGTCCAAAGTAAGTAACACAAAATCTTGCCTTCTATGATGAGTGACAACATATGTACTCAGGTGATCAGAAATATATTAGTGAAATGGAAAAAGAATCTGAATTCTTATTTTATTTCCTGACTAGTGTCAGTAGTGTTCACTGTTTCTCCGGTGTATATTTATAGCCTATATGTTATTCTGATGTATAAGCTATATTATAGTTTCATCAACATAGTGTAATCCAATCTACATATTTTCTTTTTCTTTCCTATTCTTTTGGGAATTACAACATAGATTAATCATGTTTAGTTAGATTGATTCAGAAATTATGAACTACATAAGTGAGTTGAGGGGTTCCACTCAATAAATGAAGTGCGGAAATGTCCTATCGGAAGGCAGAGGCCTGATCCCGTAAAATTAACTGTTGAAATCTGGTCGACAGGCTAGTGTCATTTTTTATACTAGCTATATTACTGTAAAGTTTAATCAAAATCGGTTCAGTTGCATGAAATAATCATCCATACATACTCACAAACTTTTGCATTAATAATATTAATAAGATATTTGTTTATATGTTTTTCTTCATATCAAAGTTTTATCTGATGTTCAAATGTTGAGGTTTGTTCAAATCTAGATGAACAACAGTATCTTATTTATTTTCATGTCAAGTGCTGTTAAATTGCTATGTAATTCTTAATATTTCTTTTACTTTCTTGATTTAATTAACCCATAACCATGGCGGTTGAAAAACTGTCCAAATATCGGGAACTCAATAAAAATAAAACGTAGTAAGGTCCCATAATTTTTACTAATCTATACATCTATACAAATAAATAAAATTGGAGTGTCTGTTAGTAATATTGAAATAACCGTTTTTTTACTACATGCATATGAATATAAATATGGTAAATACACCAAAAAAAAACTTTTTAAAATTTTTGACTGTCTGTCTGTCGGTCTGTTTGTTCCGGCTAATCTCTGAAATGGCTGGATCGATTTTAACGGGACTTTTTTTGACAGGTAGCTGATGTAATACGGAGTAACTTAGGTTACTTTTGTTTTAAAAAAATAAAGTTATATTCCACGGGGGCGAAGTCGCGGATACAGCTAGTTATACATATACAGTCAACCCTCCTATAACGCGGTGAGTGCGTACCGCGTTGTATGGAAACCGCGCTACAAGAGACTCAGAATAAGTACAAATCACATCATTCGTACCGCGTTATATGGAGACCAATAAATACAAAAGACAAGATAAATTATAAATTATTTTTATTGAATTGAAGAGTATGAACTCTTCAATTCAATAAAAATAAGGAAATGATGAAAAAAATGAAACAAAAACTAAACTAAAAAACTGTTTTCCAACAAAAACAAAAGAAAGACTTTTGTAAAATGATGTAATTTTTCAACACTCATCCTCACTGTCAGATATGAGTCGCCTAACTCGCCTTCTTTTAATGGGCAAAATGTCTTCCTCACTTGGTTGATCTTCACATTGGTTTTAAGCGGCTAAGACATAAGCAGAACGTAGTTTTTCTATAGTTCACGCGACAATGTAGTCAAAAGATCACATATATATCTTTCATGTTACAGTTTCGTTAGACACACACACGCATGGCACGCTGTCGATGCGAAACTATTTAGTTAATAGAAGTGGAAGATAGCGCATGAGGAGCCCCACCCGTGAACCATGCTGATATAAACATATCCAGTTAAAACCATTCATTGGGTGCACGGAAAGAACTGATGGGACGTTGTTGAACGGAAACCGCGCTGTAAGAGTACCGCGTTATAGGAGGGCTGTCGCAATTTCAGCTCCGCGTTATATGGAAACCGCGTTCTGAGAGTACCGAGTTATAGGAGGGTTGACTGTAAATAATAACCGCGTCTAATTAAAAAAATACTTGAAAGTTTATTCAAATAAATGTTGGTTTTAATAAAGAATTTTTTATTCTACTTACTTCTCTTCTTTTATTTCAGGAAAGTGAATGATAAAAAGGAGATAGATTTATCCAAGCCTTTGACAGCAGGCGCATTCGTCGACGCCGACCAAATTCGAGAGTTGCATGATGCACTTAGTCAGCAACTGCCACCCGAGCCTCAGATGAGCTGGCTCCGAACTGAAAACGACAATAAACAAAATGTATGTCACTCAAAATTTTACAGGGCGCTCAGAGTTTGCATTTCTATGAAGTCGGGATCGAATGGCGATGTAACTTTGAACTGACGTACAATTTACGGCAAAATTTTATATATTTTTGATTTGCCTTATAACTGGTGATAACATTAAAAATATATAATTATTCTAACTTACAATAAACGTCCTAATTTTAGGCTAAAATTATTAACTATTACTTAAATAATACAAAAACAATGGTACATTGTAAAGATGGTCTAACAATAGACTTGGAGTTGAGGTAAGTATTTACCACTAGCTGTTCTACGGTTTCACCAGCATGAATTTATGGCCTGTGTATAAACTATATTACTGTACTATTTCATCAAAATCCGGTCAACAATTTTTGCCTGAGAGAGTAACAAACATCCATCCATCTATACTCACATTTTTATGCGTTTATAATATTATTAGTAGGTATTAATACTATAATATTAGTAAGATATATTTATACTGGGCTTTCAATTAAAAAATCCATCCATTCATACTAACGCTCGTATTTATAATATTAGTAAGAAACATGGTTATTGTTATTGATTGTATATATGCTATGCAGTGCAGTCCCACTTCCATGTGTGGTATTACATGTATTATTTGACTTAATGATTTTATGTTCGTGAAGTAGTATGTATAGGTGAAGATGCCAGTTACTATAATAATATGCGATTACAGTAACAAGACTAAAAAATCGTCTGCATTGATACCTCGGTTTCACCTATTTCAGCCCCATGCCGCTTCTAAGACATGATTTGGTTGTAGGGTCAGCTTAGGACGTGAAATTACAGGATAAAAGGCAGGACATCTTAGTCTTCTGGCATATGAATGACATCTCATTATTCTCAAGATTTCCATAGTGCTATTCATGTATATAGACTATTGTTACCGCTTCCCCTTAAACTATTAACCTGTTTGTCATTGGAATTGCATAAAAAAGTAACCATACCTAAATTAATAACGACTGATTTAATCTTATTGTATATTTATATTTGACCCAAAAAATTAGTGCTGGTTGGTAGTTTGTATTTACACGTTTCGACTTGTAAATGTAAACTTACAAGGATCATTTAAAAGAGCTACACACAAATTTCTTGCTCGTTCTTCTTGTAATGAGACAGCTTTCCGAATGAGTGGTAGATAAAAAACAAATTGTTATGACTATTCAAAAGTGCTTAAATTATGTTTATTTGAATAAATGATTTTCTATTCTATTCTAATGTTTATGTAATAGTTGCAGAAAATGAAGAATTTAACCATATCGGAAAATGAGAATGATTCTAAACCGAGTTGCAGTGCTGACACGGGTACATCAACCCTTCATGCCACAAGTAAGGCCATAGAAGTACCCAAGATGAAGAATGGCGATAAATATTCTAGTCTAATGGTAAGTTAAATTTCATCTTTTTAAGTGTTGTTTGTAAATATAAATAAAAAAATAAATAACTCTGGACAATTAACACAGCACCAGCACCGAGGCCGTTAATCTATGTAAATAATATAGAAAGCGTGAGAATGTAATGAGAGATATCTCACTAAGAGTTGTTTTTAGATGTATTATGACTTCTTTAGAATGTTTTAATGTATGTTTGAAAACATATGTAAATAATATAGAAAGTGGGAGAATGTAATGAGAGCTGTCTCACTAAGAGTTATTCTTAGATGTGTTATGACTTTTTCACAATCTATCAATGCATTTTATTTAAGTTCAGTACTATTCGCAGTACTATTCGCACATCACAAATATTCAGTGTGAATACCACCGCTTACGACCGTTACTGAATTTACACCCATATTAAGACACGTGATACACGTTCGAACGAGGCATCGTATTACAATAAATAGAGCTCCGATGTAGCTTGGATGCCTAGTGATGACTGTCCTGCGACCACACTATGACTACTGTCAGTTTTCCGTACTGAATATGTGATATGCGATCCCATATTCTTATTGAATAGTAGTAAAGGTAACGGAATTAACTGCATTCATTTAATGGAATTAACTGCATTTATAATCAATTTCATTTGCAGTAATGAAATTGATTATTTTGTTTACATGTAATGAAGTGTTAACTGAGCCACTTCTGGATTTTTTGAAATTCAAGATAGCCTGTCTGTCCTCGTGACAGATTCTGTCTTCTCGTCATATTTCATAAACATCCTTTCTGTCATTTAGTCCTTTAAAGGTAATAAATAGATAGAAAGGCATACTTTCACATCTACAGTATTCATATGGGTTATATATGTAAATAGCATATGGCATGATCTGCGTACAGAGAGATGATTTAGATGGAATTAACTGTAATATTATAGTTTCTTGTTAACAAAATAATTTTTTTGTTATAGGATTTTCCGTTCGCCGACGGTAGTCCCATGGCAGAACTGGCAAACTTTTACCAGGAGTGCCTACAGGCTAGGTCGGCGAGCGACGAATGGACAGACATCGCCGGTGAAGCGTCCGCTTCCACTGATTCGGAATCATTATCTCAGCAGTTGAAAATGTTTGAGGATGCTGTCCCGGAGTTCGACAACATGGTTGCCTCGATGTTCAGCAACTCCGAGAATGGATCCGAGTAATTGTAACCATGAAGTTGTTATCGCTTTTGTCTAAGTATTTGTTATTAAAATGAAATGAGATATGTAAAAATCAACCAATGAGGTACCCAATTATAGAACATTCCTTGCGGTCAAACTAGTTTAACTAAGACGAAGTTCTGTTTGTAGTTTGTTCGCATGCCATAATTTGATGGTTTTAAATTTTTTTCTATTGATTGATTTTTGCGTTTTCATAACTATTAGATGTACGGGCGAACCAAAAAATTGTTTATATGATTACGCTTTAGAAGGTTGATCATCATCTGTATCTAAATAACGAAGTCATCGAAAACGAAATTTCCTTATTGACAAGTGGTTGTTAAACATTCTACGTTGAGGCTTACTGGCTATGCCACGCTAGTTATCCATTTTATTTGTTCAATGTATGCATGTAGTCAATCAACAAGCCAAACATATTGTAATTGATATAGAGATCTCTTTGCTTCTAGTATTCTAATAATATGTGCAAGGTATAGAAAGGCTACATTGCTTATCGTCAGCTTCGCTGCGTTACGTTTGTGAATCATTTATGCTCAAGTGAATTACATATTTAAGATTACAATACATTTACAGTCATGTTATTAAATAGATTTATAGAGGATATATTACTCATACGTGTTATAAATGCAATGCCATAAGTATTACGTGATTATTGGAACATAACTAAACAATTAGGTACAATTATATTATCCTATATATACATTTTAATTTTATCATCTCTGAGACTTGTTTACAATTGGAGAGGCCATGATTTTTGCTTTCCATTGACGTCTTCATTTAGTTCACATGCCAATATATAAACATCAAGTTACATGTTACCTATACTAAAAAAGTCATTATCTAGTTAAATAAAAAAAGCTCGCATTTTATCATATTGTTAAATTGATTAGGTATTGAAAACACATACAGGGAACCAGTGGTTTGTGTAGGTAAGAGTAAACAATGGGAAAGTGAGTGATCGTAACGATTATATTAATGGATAGATATATTGTATCATGTGCGACCACACCGTGACATCTTATACCTGAATTATTCTCTATTGCAGATAATTTTAAAAGTTTACTATTATTTAATTTAATTGAAGGAATTACATTTTACAATTGCACAATGAATATATTTTAGTTATAGCTTTAAAGAGATACCGCAACTGTCATTGTATACGAAAAAGTAAGCCACGGTTTTTTTGTCCTTACATAAATAGAATTAACTCATGTTTCAACCTTGTCTTTAGATTTTTAAGGATTAGTTACACAACCTTAGTTTACCTACTATGGTGTTTTACTATATTACAAGCTATGGTGGTCCGCCAGTACCGTATAGAGATAGGTAAATCAATGTCCTACATTAATTAATTTACTATTTGAACCGTTTCGTTACTATTGTTTAATTCATATCATTGGTGACCAGAGTTTCCTATACCCTAGCGAGGATCAGCACGAGCAGCATCTCAGACAACTGTGCAAAAACTAACAGACTATGGCATATTGATAAACATTAGCAAATATGTATTTAAACAGGAAGAAGTAATTTTTTGGGCTACCATGCATGCATGCAGCAGGGATTAAACAATTGGTGGCAAAAGTTTCCAATCCAAAAAAAACATCTAAGAACTGAGGCGTTTTCTAGGATTGACCTTCGACTAGTTCAGTATAAGGAGAACCATTACATTGTGTTCAATTTCTCACATCCAGAACTGATGAAGCAGTAGATACAAGCTATTTGGTCAGTCGACCCCACTCTTACATGAGTAAGCTAATACCACCAGTTCCAGCAGACATGTTGTATTCTCATGTTTTTCACTGACAAGGTTCAATAAATAAATCATTGCAGTCACCTTATGCTTAAGACATATGATGATGTGCAAGGAAAGAAACAAGTTATAATTCACTGTCTCAAAGCAGCGTTCACGACAGCAGAGGAACCAATCAGGAACAGAAATTGAATAGATTGAATGATGAGACATTAATAGATGAAATGGAATAGACTGAAAATATAAAAACAAGCCGTAATTACGGTCTCAGCGGGGGAATGGTTGGCATAATCACAGGCGTACAATTTCGGCTTGGACTTCAGTAGGAAGTCATACGATGTTTCATACGACGATGACGCTACACTGAAGAAGGCGACCACAGGTCATACCCCTCATTATGCTTCAACGCACCAGGAAGAATGCAACCGTACGCGCTCTGTGATTGGAGCGCGCTCTCTACGTGGCTACGTTACACAACCCCGACTGCGTACATAATGCCAAACGCTAGTCCTAATCATTTTTAACAAGATGTGCCTACGGTTTCAGCCCGGTAAATTTCAATATATACATTTCAATAAAAAAATATAGGTTATATGTTATTCTGATGCATAAGCTATATAACTGTAAAGTTTCAACAATATATGTACAGAAGTGTTAGCGTGAAAGAGTAACCAACACCCATTCTTACAAAATTTCGTGTTTATAATATTATTAAGATTAAGATAATTTTTTAACGTATAAAACCAAAACATTGTAACATTTATTCACATTTAATTCTGTCGATGGTTAAGCTCAATATTAAATATAAACGAGATTATCGTCGCACTGCAAGTTCAGTAATTCCTCGTCCCAAGTAAGACTAAGCAGGGCTTGGTATATTTGAGAATGTGGCAGTATACATAAAAACTCTTCTCATATATAATTGTCATAATTTTTTTGTCTAAAATAAGGCAAATCTAAATTATTATACAATAATTAGCAACTGGATAATGTTGACAGGTTGAAACATCTGTTAGTAATATTGTATTGTTTCTTTATTTGCTATCTTATGTACTATATTTGTAGGAAGTATTATTGCAGTATTGAATCGCTTACAATAAATGTTATAGTGATGGAGTTCAGTATTACAATTGACAAGATTATACTCGAGTTACATATCAATATTAACATCTATTAGGACTGTATTCATTCTAAACGATTATTTTATTTGTTGGCTTTTATAAATACTACAATACTCTGAACTTGCTCGGGACAATATGGGCTCGCTAAATAGATGCAGTTGCGGAATCAGCTTTAATCTGTATTATAATTTTAATATTATTAAACAAATAATTTTATATTATATTTTATATTACTACATTACACCTTGAGCGCCATATTAATCATACATGATAGTTACTTATAATTTTATTCTTCATATAATACGCTCATGTTATTATGACTGATATTTAGTTTTACGTGTAGATAATATTGTAAGCGCCAAGTTAATAGTAATGATCTTTTATAATTTTTTGTAAATTTAATTTTTTAACGAATATACGTAGATAGGTTATATATAATTATTTTATAGCTAAACACGATGGAGTGTAACCGTATAGTGAATGATCATGAGTCCTGCCTTCTGGGTATTTTACAGATATTATTACTTTGTATTTTATTGAATTATGTGAATAATTTTACTGCGTACCTTTTAGCATTGAGTGCCTTATAGCCAACGAGTGGTTTAATTTTTAATATTTTACAAGATTACAAGTGCCAAGTTTTATTTTGAATTGAATATGTGCATTATAATTATGTTATACTATAATACTCTTAATCAGAATATTTAAAGGGAATGAGGTAAAATGTGATGTGATAGAATTGTTATGAAATAAAATTTATTTTAAAACTACATAAGTATCACTGACTAATACTTTTAATGAAATATTTTAATTGTATGTATTATTTGTTGGTTATTACCAAATTATTGTGCCTGTAGTTTAATTGCAACTTATTCTAGTCCACTATACACACACCATAATGATTAATCATTGCACGGAAAGCAAAGAAAATTGTATACAGATGTGTATTTTATACTTTTATACGTAGCATATTTGTGATAAACAGCATTAGTGTATATTAATCAAAATTAGTAGTGTAATAATTTAAACCAAAAAGTAGTTGTTGTTTATTATAAATTAATAATCGTTAAAAATCCTTTATTTTGCAGCTATTGGTTCATTTATATTTAATAACAGATTATCCCATACTAGCTGAGCTCGCGGTTTCACCCGCATCAGCTATATTACTGTAAAGTTTCATCAAAATCCGTTTAGTAGTTTTTGCGTGAAAGGGTAACAATCCATCCATACTCACAAACTTTCGCGTTTATAAGATTAAAATAATAAGATTATGTAAACGTGCTGAGTGTAATCCAAGTGTATATATCTACATATTTTCTTTTTCTTTCCTGTTCTTTTGGAAATTACAACATAGATTAATCGTGATTGGTGTACGTTACAGTTAGATAGATTCAGAGATTATGAACTATACATAAGTGAGTTGTACGGATTCCACTCAATAAATGAAGTGCGGAGATGTGCTATCGGAAGGCCGAGGCCTGATCCAGTATAATTAACTGTTGTAATCTGGTAGATATGCTAGTGTATTTTTTATACTACGATGGTGGCTAACAAGCATACGGCGGCATCTGATTGTAAATAGTTACCGTAGCCAATGGTCGCCTGAGACACCTGGGGTGTCACGTGCGCATTGCCGACCATAAAGAAGAGATCGTTGGATCCTTCACATCGACCTTATCGATCGGCTACTATTATATATCATATTGCTCATAGGTGCTATAACACGATAAAGTTCGTTTGTCTAAGAACAAACAAATTTTTCTGAAACCAGTGTATGTATTTCTCGACCAGTTTTTATATGTTGATATTATTATTAATTCTATATTAAGAAGTTAAAAATTTGTAGAATAAAATGTATAGTATTGCTTATTAAAACTATTACTTTTTTTATCTATTTCTTTCGCATTAAGAATTTAATACGAAAGAAAAATACATCATATATTTAATTATATAGTAAATGTGAATATACATATTTTATTAAGTTTTAAAATATCTACTTTTTTAGCTGAATTTATATACTGTTTTATAAATTGCAATGCATAGAGAAAAACAATAGTAGAATTTTTATATTATAATACATATACAGTTTTTATATATACATATTAACATATTGTAACAAATATTTTAATCATGGACGCCAGTATGAGTTGCAATTAATTACTAGAATTAAGTATTATTAGCTTGTTTCTGTATTTCGTTCTTTTTATATTGTGTTCATTCTGATAAATGTTTAAGAAAAATATAATCCTCTGTTTTCTTAACTGCTGTTTTTAATATACGTCGTGCGAAGCTACAGTTACCCACGGAAGTAGTGTACTGGTTAATCGTGATCACACAGGTCTACCAGGCATGTAGTGCCCTAATATGCTTAATCCTATTACGAAATGACAAGGCTAAAGATAGTATTGACAGATTCTACTCAAACTTTATTAAATCGTTCGTTATGGATTTATTTCGACCTAATATGATTTTACTTATATGTTCAATTTCCATAATCGATAATTATACGATGTGCAACAAAGTAAAAGAAGATTAAGAACTGTTCAAATACGAACACATAATTTGAATAGGCTTGGCGTGGCGTGAACATGGTCTATCTTCATATAATAATATTGTGATTTTTGAGTATGAAAGATCCTGCCCAAACTTACTAATTAGTCTTTTTCAGTAGTATTTTGTCGTTCGTTACACACACTGAGATCTTCAGCAGTAAAGAGCATCTCAATTTAATGTAAAAAGTGTGTATTTACCTGCCTAATGTTAAAAACCGATTTATTGATTGCAATCCTTCTCATGAAAAAACGTAGTTAAAAGTGTTTCTTTTTGTAAATTCTGAAATTATATCCTAGACAAGGTCCCATAAATAAAACTTTAAATTAAATTTAACTTTTTCAGACCCTAAATGAGAGCTAATCATTGTGATGTTTAAAAGATGGTGAAATAAATATAGTAAATATCAGACGATTTATAATTAAAATTATATGGGAATTCAATAATTTATTTAAAATTGTATAGTCAGGAGGAGGATGCCGAATAATCTTCCCGAAGCCTTGGTTTCGCGTTTGGAATTATGCTGTACACCTTTAAGTTTTGACCGGTAATATTCTGAAACAATAGTTGCATTGTTTACCGCGACATGGGGACAAGGACAGATTACTAACGGTCTAATTGCATGCTACTTTAGGCCTGCATGCTATAGAATTGCCGTAAAAACGAATGACAATATTAGATCGACAATGCTGCAACACCATGAAACATTGACGTAGAAACCCCTTACGGTTTTCTATTACTAAATACTAAGAGATTATTCTTCCATAGAACCTATCTACACAAATTTTATTGGGTACCAATATCTTATGATGAAATCAGGAACGAACGCGTTTTGCTATGTTAATTTTATTAGCGGTAAGATCCGCTATTAAAATTTAACTTATTCAAATCGGCTACCCACTTCTAGTAGTTAGATAAAGCATTGAATAGTTTTTAGAAAATAAGAGCGGAAACCCCTATTGGTACCCTCAGAATGAAATAGTAGTATCCGTCAGGCGAGACTGGGCCTTCAACCGCTCCATAAGTCCTTCCGCGGGTTTGGAGTGCTATCTGCACTCGGCCCCTATCGTCTGGTGAAGCATTAAAGGCCAGCTGCGACCAACAGCAGAAGAACGAGAAAAAGAAAATTCATCGGTTTCATTAAAGACTTTCTGATAAATACCTGATCATCCAATGTAGGACCGTAAGTCTTTAGCACTGTTGCCTCAAGTTTCTTCGTATAGATGGACCGGCGGTGGTGTGCCCGTACGGCGTCGTGTAGTAACGCATGCGTGATGCAGGCGCGGTCAGCTGAACGCGCCACACAACGCACCTCGCGCAGTGCATCTAAGGCTACGTTCAGGCGCACGCGACCCAAGAATGAGTACAAAGAACTTTCTTCATCTCTTTCCTGTAATGTGAAACAACTTTGCAGGTTTCCAATGGGAGTGCCATGCATTCTCGGTGGTCTAGCGGTTTAGTTAGCTAGCTATGAGGAATCGAACCCGCAACCAGAAAGTAAAGCACACCGTTTTACTTTCTGGTCGAGAATCGATTCCTCGCACGGTACAAACATTTGTTCATCATTTTGCTTAACTTGGGAGCTATATGTAATGTCCAGATTAAGATTTTCATATCCATCTCTCAAATTATTATCCTTTATATTATAAGTATACATTACTTTATCTAATATAAAGAATTTTATATACTGATAAATGTTTTAGACGTTAGTGTTTACAAACCAAAAAAATAGATGGCAATTAATAACACTGCGTGGGAAGGGGATGGAACCAGACCCCGTAGCGTCGTACCAGTTACTCATGAGTAAGGTAATTTCTAGTGTAGGCTCGATGGGGGTCGCCTATATCACCACTACTGTGCTAATAACCTTCCACTTTTAGTTTACTACGAAATATATATATATTTTTTAAACACATTATTTTATTCTTTATGTCAGATCTACTTTTAACAGTAGGTTTTCATCATTTCATTATCTATGAAGATAAAGAAATGGTGAAAACCTTGACGCAAAACCTGCCTTTGTGTATCACTTTTAGAGATGTCTTACCTGTCTAGTCCTAAATCATTTAGGATGATGTGATTAGGCACTGTGATATTTTTATGAATATTTGTCTAGGACCAAGCTGATTTAAACTAACCTTTTTTCTTTCATTTTCAATAACTTGTTCTTGCTGGCGTTTTATTTCTTTGGCCCAACCTCTGTTATAAAGTTAAATCAAAATAATTAATAGGTATTAATGTGCGTACATCTTGAATAAATGTTTTCAAGTTTAGGTCCACCTATCTGCATTCATTTAATTATGCGAAGATTTCTTTCTATACATGAAATTATGGCTGTCTACGGTACCATATAAATCTGCATAGGTACAATAAAAAAAATTGTGAATCAAGAATCTATATTTTTGAAATAAACTCCAATGAGATCTACGTACACTATTATTGTTGAGGTAAATCTTTTGCCTACCTACAGTTACAAGTAAAGTCCAAGTCCTTTTAAACTCACTTTCCGATGTGTAGAAATTCATTAAGTATATTATTATCTTGGTGAAGTAGTCCTAAATTTTGAACTTGCGTCTCCGTCCATACTTCGTTAAGTTTTATCGTCAAGTAAAAAGAGCAGAGTATCAGGATAGCCTGTTTATATATATCAAAATGAGAACAATGATATATCATATATTAATCTATTTATCGTTATTTTCATGCTAGAACTGTTACGGAGTAGGTAAAATGGTACGAGTAAAAAAAACTTTATTCTTAAGTAAAACATGGTACGTTTTTCATTAACTCGTCTCATACATATACGCATGGTTCCAGAGACCTAGTTCCCTCATGCTATTGCTAAGTAATAAAAAACGGGTGTTTTTGTTTATAATTATAGTTGAGATGCGATAATAAATTCAAATTCTAAATTAATAATATTGTGAGAATGCTAATAGTATTAAGTCGTTGTACAACATTTATATAAATACTCACTGTAATGACATAAAATATAGATTTTATAAGTATTAACGGTATAAAAGGTATGACTAGATATTTATACATCTATACATATCTATAAATAAAATTGGAGTGTCTGTTTGTAATATTGAAATAACCGTTTTTACTACATGCGTATGAATATAAATAATAAATACACCAAAATAACATTTTTTACAAATTTTGTCTGTCTGTTTGTTTCGGCTAATCTCTGAAATGGCTGGACCGATTTTGACAGGACTTTTTTTGGCAGGTAGCTGATGTAATAAGGAGTAACACAGGCTACTTTTATTTTTAAAAAACCTTTAATTAAGAAAAATAAAGTTATATTCCACGCGGACGATGTCGCGGGAACAGCTAGTTATTCATATAATACGATACCGTATTGGCGTTATAAATTCACAATTGGCAACGAATTTTGTACGTTGAACAAAAGCTATTTTTACCACCATTGTGTGGAAGTACCGACCCGATAACCAACATAAGTGCCTAGGTGCATAAGTCACGGCATGTCAGCATATATGTATATGCTAGCTATTATTAATTAAAAGCTATTAGCAAAGACATCTGTAAATCATATTTATAGAACAAAATCTATTATTAGGTACTCACAAAACGATTACTTAATACAAACGTACCTACATGGCAATAGTTGTTTCAAGGGATTTTCATTGAATGTTAAACATAGACATAGATAAAAGTAAGCAATGTAATGTTTAAAAAAAAAGAAATCAGGTAAGTTTCTTGCAAATTCGTAAATGAATATGTATACAGAATTGAACCAGAGGGTACAATATTAACACAAAAAATTTACGTTGATAAGCGGCTAAAATGTCCTATATAAATAAATATTTTTTTTACTTTATTTGTACACATACTTAAGTTACCTATTTATTTAGAGAAGCTCATTGTTTGTCAAGTTAAATATAGGAAAGTTATAACACTTGTTAAATAGAAATATTTTGAAAAAACATGTACCTGTTTCACTACATGAATGTAGTAGGTACATAAACCGTTATCATTGTAAAATTTCAATAGAATTAAATGTATAACTCCATACCGTAGTATATTACATAGATTAATCTATACGGTAATTAAATAAACTCTATGTACCTCATCTTCAGGTGGCAGTTGTATATTCTTATACAGATTATAGGCTTCATCGGCTAAATTTACTCTGTATTCCAGATCAACTGATAACATGTGTAAAATAGCATAAGCCTGGAAGAATACATAGTGAGAAATATTGTAAAACTAGTAATTTTTGTAAAACAATTGACATATATCAAGCACTCGATTATAACCACATTGATTAAGTTGTTCTGTTTCTGATATAGTTAGTAGAGAACACAAATGCACAGATTAAGATTCTCAATCATTGTTTTGAGTTCTATTACGTTATAAAGTGTCATTATATTAGTTTTTCTCATATATCTTTTATATATAGACAGCAATCAGTTACATATTTAGTGCATTGTCCCTGGAAAATTCACATACCGCTGTGTAGTGTATTGATTGTGTTATGGTTACTAGACAACTGACATAATTATTGATATAATAATTAGGTTTTTTTAATACGTACACACAAAATACATAGAAAACAAACAGTCAATACTCATACAAATATATATACCGTACGAGGAGTCGAAAGCACGACCATTTAAAGTAAAATGGTGTGCTAACCGGCTACACCACTGAGACCAATAATTATATAAAGTATCAACGAAAATAGGTATTCTATATTATACCTTGGACATCCTAGAGCCAGCCAGATCAGCGGCCGCCAAGCACACAGGAGTCCGCGTGTTCTTACCTTCACTAAACTCTGGATCATTCAATTCAGACCGCACAGCAGAAGATAGTAGAGGACTATCTAAATCTAAAGAGTAATATAGGTATATGTGCACGTAAATAAATAATAAATTAAGAACCCAGGTCAATTAAGATAGCGCCCTCTAGTCTCACGGTAAGCATGGCATAGGTAACACAACTTACACTACATACCTAATATATATAGAAAACCCCCAGACCGATGAATACAAATATTTGCACCGTGCGAGGAATCGAACCCGCGACCATCGGAAGTAAAGCTGTGTGCTAAACTGCTAGATAACCGAGGCCGTCTAAATATATATGTTAATATATGGGTAAAGAATATTCTCAAATAGATACGGTGTTTTTGAAAATAATTGTAGGTAAACTACATTTAAAAAGTAACCAGTGATAATGCCTGAAAAAGCTACATGCCTAGATTAAACAAGTAATTAATAGAATCTATTCGTATATGAATTGATTCCCTCAAACTATCTCTCAACTTGAATTTCCAAGTGTTGTTTATGTCGATAGGTTGTAAATACTATTTACCATCAAATGGACTATGGTATTGTTTGCCACTTCCAGTACCATCTTTTCAATCTTATCGCTAGTAAGTTTCATTATGAATTCACCTTGCATGATACTATATTCATTCAGTTTAACTCCAGTAGCTCGACATTCATCTCGAAATATCGCTGCTATTAAACTAGCAATAGTCGCACCACGTCTCACTAGGTTTGGGTGCTGGAACAGTAGCCATAGACCCAATTGAGTAGAACTAGCAAGAAACTCAATTGAATTACTTTTTATAAAGCCCCTTTATTTACAAATAATCTTTATTAAAATAAACTCAATACAAGCACTCTGGAATAGTCATATTTTTTATTCTATCACTCATTCGGAACGCAGTTTCATCACAAGAAGAATGAGCAAGAAACTTGTGTGTTGCTCTCGTGAGTAAATGTTTTTTTCCAAAATAATTTATCTGTAGTGGTCAGTATAGAATTGTCTGAGTGTCATTTTTTTATTATTAGTATTTAAAATAATATCTGTCGCTTCCTATGTAGCGACATCCTTTTGGCATATCTTATTATTATCACCTGTTTACACATATACATTTATAAGTTTTTTTTTCTTAATATACTAGATATATTGCCTGTAATACCCTAATTATACATTAATATTTACTCTACTTCTTCTTACTACTCTATGCGTTATTTAGAGCATACATATGTTAGTACCTGTTTTCTTCTTATTTGTGTCGTTTATGTCTTCATATGCCGTAACAGTCGATTAGGGAAATTAAGTAAACCTGTAGACTAAACTTTTGACATTTTATGGTGTAACTATATTGTTTGAAAAATAATGTAATGTACCTACCGCGCTGGAAGCCCCAGGAGCCGCTCTCCACGTGACCAGCTGCCCGACAGCGTCTCCTGCGCGCGCAGCATCACACACAAGCGCCAGGGCGATGCATTGAACCGGAGCACTTGTCATCTGTAAAGGTTCAAATAATTTTTAAGTATTTTACGTGAGAACTACTTTGTACATAATATAGAAATATATTATGTACATAGTGTTAGGAATTAAACTCACGTTCAGTCTTTCATATAATTTGTTTCATATATATATTATAACATTAATATATTTTGTTATTAAAGTATGTCAAATGATAAAAGTAACAAAATCTATACATATATAGACTATATAACAAGAAGAATATACAACTTATGAGTACGGTATAAGTAGATATGACTTACAGCAGTTGTTAGAAAAGATACGGGAGGTAAGAAACTAATCAGCATATATATACTATATATTATATATAAGTATACCTACTAAAAATATGTAACACTTGTTGTGTACTTAAATTTTTAAGTACGCACCTAATTATTTCTATGTTTTCAATAAATCTACTACTATATTACTACTACTATATCTACTAATTATAACGCCGTGATTTTACTTTGATCATTAGATCATCTACTATTAATTATTTTATTAATATTATACATGTGGCATACATTTAAAATTTTAAAAAAAGAGGGCATCATCAAATAAGAAGTCTTGCAATGGACTGCAAACTCTCTTTGCCATTTGCCAAACAATCCGATTATAATAGACATACAGATCGCGGATAAACCAGGAACAAAAAATGCGAAAGTTTGTATGGATCTCTGCTACTCTTTCACGCAAAAACTACTGAATGAATTTTGATGAAACTTTAAAGTAACATAGCTTATACATCAGAATAACATATGGGCTATATTTTATATTCAAATTTGACGCGGGTGCAACCGCAGGCACAGGAAGTAATACATATATTACAAATGCGAAAGTTTGTAAGTATGGATGTTTGTTACTCTTTCACGCAAAAACTACTGAATGGATTTTGATGAAACTTTACAATAATATAGCTTAGGCATCAGAATAACACATAGGCTATATTTTCTATTGAAATATAACGCGAGTGAAACCGCGGCACAGCTAGTCTTTTCTTATTTCTTAACATACACGGCCTATTCTGATATTAGGAAGTAAGTGAAACCAATTAAAAAGAAGTATCCAGAATTGAAAAGCGAACCAATCAAGAGTCAACATCTAATTCAATTGAACACTTAGTTATCCAACGCAAGGAAGTCACGATTCCCGTTTGTTAGTGAATATTTTTCACAATCTCACGATCTTGTCGAACGGCCCCGAGTGAGAGCGGCCCTTGTCTCAGTTCCTTTTACTGATTAGGTTATTATTACAATAATATGAGGGAAACTAGTAGTAAGCCAATTGAAAGCCTAGAGATTAGTAAAATACTCTGGACCCCAGATAGAGTACGTACTTATATTATTAACGTAATAGTATTATTTTCGATCAACATAGGTACCAGTACTCGAGTAACACGCATACAAATTACAATATCAGTGCCAAAAAGATTTTGTTTTCATTACACATTTGTTTTATAACAAAGTCGCTGTCGCTGTCTGTCCGTCCCTATGTTTGATTAAATCTTTAAAACAACGCAACGGATTTTGAAGCGTTTTTTTTAAATAGATAGAGCGATGTAAGAGGAAAGTTTATATATATAATACATCTACACCTGGACGAAGCCGAGGCGAGTAGCTATTTGATTTATAAAATTAAAGCAATGGACACGAAATAAAGTAGGTATATACAAATATATTTTTCGATTAACGTAGTCTGACTGAAATTGTATTAATTAGGTAGATAGGTACCGAATATATATTTTACATACTAAACTCGAGTGACAGGCATACAAATGACTAAATCAGCTAAAAATCACACTCCTAATAACAATTAGTCACTTACTGTTATTATATCCAACAATTTGTAAATACCATTGTTACTAATAAAAGTTTCTCTATATTCCTTCTTCCATACTATTGACTCCCAAATAAAATTGAGCAATGACACTAACCACCTGCAACGTGCAATTCATACTAGTGTACATTGATAGCTGAATGTACATTGTGTAAAAAGATGTATATGTATTTGTATTAGTTCTCTAGTGCCCATAACACAGGCTTCAGCTTAACGTCGGTCGAGATGGCACTGTGTGAATTGTCCTTGAGATTATTATTATAAATATAATAAATATGAAAGCGTTTCTGACCGTTTATTTGTTACTTTTCTACGATTAAACGGATGAACCGATATTAAGAAAATTTGATTAAAACGACTTGGTCTCTAATAATTAAATTAAGACTCGGACAGTTATAGTTACATTCCAGGATTAATTATTGTTTGCATATCGAGTATCTACACTAAATGCCTGTAATCAGGCCAAGGTCTGTAATTGTCACAGTTTTAAGTATTTAATTGCTCGCATCCTATATCATATTGATAGTTATAACAAACGTGTGGTTTGGCGCGATCAAGTTATATAATAATAATAATAATAATAATCTTTATTTGTCTCAAACATAAACTAATACAATTATTGCCCAATGTATATGCCCAAACAATAATAAAATTTAAAACTAATAAAGGAGACAAAACGGTCTATGATTCAGTGGCGGCAGTGAGTCCACCCTCTCTGCTATTCTATAGTATATATAATAGTATTTTAATATCGATAAAAATTATGTATCAACATTAGTAGGTAATATTAATCATATGAACATTAGTAAAGTTACTCGCAATAAATATTAAACCAATTTTAAATGTTCCTACATACCTTATGTAAAATCTAAACCAGTGTTTCTCAACTATTTTAGTGCCACGTTTCACCTGTACTTTTTTTAATATTCTTATGGCCCCCTACCCTTATACAACATACATTCAATGCAATTATACAATATACAATTTATGACTTTAAAAAATTTAATTGTTCACTTAAGAAACAGAAATAGGTTTTAGCGAGAAATCCCTAGGAAAATGTTAATGAAACAGTAAATTTTAAAACATATAATGAAAAATTTAAATTCACAACCATATAATTTTAATAAAGAGTCAATTTTCGAATTGCCCCTTTTTGGGGTGTGGGCACAACATTGGGAAACACTGATTTAAACCATCATTTAGATACTGGAGCCGCGTATTGCGTATACAATACCAGACGATACGAGCAACGTCTCCTGTATTTTTTGAGATAAAAACTAGGCTATGTCCACAACATACATTCACCTCATAAACTGGCAGATATACATACGTATAAACTAAGTTTTATTTTTATTCTGTTCCCGAAATTTCGGCAGTGCTTCTACCGCCATGATCACTGGTAAACTGAAGAGCTGGGCGAAGATGGTAAATAAAATCTTTTATGGGCAGACATATTCGTCTACTTCACACATCTTCGTCTGTTGTTACTATTGAAACTCGCTCGATATTCATCTCGGTAAACTATACTATTTCTACTATTTTTTTTATTACCCTAATGCTGTTGGCTGCAGCAGGCCCTTACTTAGCTCTACCGGACGATAGGAGGCGATGCAGATGACACCCTAAACCCGTGGAAGGACTTATAGAGCGAATGGAGGTCAACTCCCTGAGGGCATCGAATCTTGGCTCATGCCGTTGTAATTTCGATCCGCGTTTGAATTGGACGGGGGATTTGATCGGAGGGGATTTACATTATTTAGACGTATAAATAATTTCAAATTTAAAACACTATACAGACATATATATGTAATTTCGAATTTATAATATTCATATCGATGCGTACCTGTCACTGATTATAAAATGATTTTCAAGAGAAAACATTACTATGTCGAGCATTTTCCTAGCTAAACTGTTGACGCATGTCGGCCATTTTATATTGGGATACACGCAGCATTTGAGTTGTGTGTGATTCTCTACAGCGCTGGTCAGTAATCGAAGACACAGAGCTATGATGGCTTGGCTCTTTTGTATGGGAGGCGACTTCTGTCCCAATAGAGTATAACATAGATCTGTAAAAAGAAAAATATAGTTATCAATTCAGTACTAGTATTCGAATTGAAAACATTATTAAAATATGGCAATTAGGTGGAATCAAAATGTATTTCTATACAAATAAATAAAATAAAAAGTGTCTGTTTATAATAAAAAATCAACATATTGCTACTAAATGCATATAAAAAGATATAGGTATACTTATATATATATATACTTATATAGGTTACTTAGATTAATAAAATTATAAATCTAGGTTTTGTGTGGTTGTCTGTTTTTTTTTCTTGCTAATCTCTGAAACGGCTGGAACGACTTTAACGAGACTTCAATAGCTAATGTTATAAGGAGTAACTTACTTTTTTATTCTGAAAAATGTACATACCTATATTATTTTAAAAAAGTTAAATTCCACGGCGACGAAGTCGCGAACTTTTAATTATGACTATGTAGAAATTTACTTCAATTCAAATGAAATGGCTCAGTGGCTATCAATATAAATACAGTCATTTTCTACTCATGAAGAATATGCTACGTATCTCATTATGGCTTATAGCCTAACTATGCCTGTTTCAAATATCTCAAATCTATCATCAGCAGATTGATTCCAGATGAATTTGTAATTATTTTTAACTGTCAGCTGTTTAGTCAATTTTGATAAGATGTCTTACTGTCAGGTATTATAGTAGGGGCTGTATTTATATGTATTCAGGTTTGTAGTGTTTATATGTATTTTATTATTATACAATAAACATAATTTATATAATAAACGTAAATTGAAAACATAAATAGTATTCACAACAATATAAAATAATTAATAATGAAGAACAATTAATTAGTATGCCTGCAGAAGAAGACCTTTTGGTCATTTTTTTTTCCCGCGTAACCGTAATGCACCACAGATGTACAATATTGGACGGCGCACAGCCACAGTAAGATGACAAGCATGTCATAGCTGTATGAGTGATATTAATGCTAGCACAGATAACATGATATTATATAATACTAGTAAGAGTATTAACACTTACGAATCAGTATAATGATGCCATGTGTTTCGAACAGGTCGCGAATGGAGGCAGTGCGCTCTGGTGTAACTCGATTATAAATGGCTACTTGTAGAAGTCTAACACACCAGTACAGTACCGGCAGTTCATATGGACTCTCGGAGTACCATTCGATGTACCACATTATTCTAGAAACACAAACAAGGTTATCCTTAATATACTTTCCTGTAAAATTGACTAAATAATTTATGTAGGTCTATTTCAGACTATTATGATATGTCAAATCTACAGTCAGTTCGGAGTGCTTACGAGTTGAAAAGCATAGAGTGATGACCAGCATATGCTATTTAAACTTTGTCAAAAGGAAGTAGCCTATGTTACTCCTTATTAGATCAACTACCTGTCAAAAATAGTCAAAATCGGTTTAGTCACTTTAGAGATTAGCCGGAACAGATAGACAGACAGACAAAAATTGTAAAAAATGTTATTTTGGTGTATATGTACCGTATTAATATTCATATGCAAGTAGTAAAAAATGGTTATTTCAATATTACAAACAGGCACTCCAATTTGATGTATATATGTATAGATGTTAATTTATTTTCTTATATATACCTTCTTATCAGTCCATAATCTTTCACCAAGTGATGTGAAGCTAATGGCAGTGTACACACCAACGCTTGGAGAGCTGTTTTGCGAAGTTCTGCGAAAAGAGCTGGTGACCACCGAGCCCTGAGGTAACAGAGGCCTGGATCAAGTAGGTACATGAGGCCAAGAAGCCAGTATTGAGATTCCACCATCTAAAAACAATTCATCACTCAACTCATCATCAATAAGCGCAATAATTTTTACAGAAGAAGATTATTTAGTTTTTTATATTAAAAATATTTGAAAGACTCAAATATTAGATACAATTATACACTGGAACCCGCACGAGGCGAACCTGTAATTAAACTTTGTATAAAGTTGTTTTTACGTTTTATAATGTTTCATTAATTTCATAATAAATGAAATCAAATGGAATGAATGTTTATTTACAATATTATATGTTATTTTAAGCCATAGTGTTTTTTATGTAATAGAATCTTTAAAAAACAATTCGGTTTGATTTAAACCCATGATGATAAATACAATCTTAATATTAATCTCTAATAGTTTAACTCAGTTTGTATTAGTGATAATACAAACTGAGTTAAACTACATATTAGAGTGAGGCCGGCATAGACAAGAAGTGGTAGATTTATTTATATTTACCTAGTTCTAACGATATTTTTTTCTATAGCAACATATATATAACTTTCCTACAACGTTATAAATGAAGATACATTAACTTACAAATTTATTATACGGGAAGATCTTGATCATATCTACTGATAAATATATAAGCATTTTCTTGAACTGAACATCCACCTGTGAGGTGTTGAAGCTTACAGAGGACGTCCAATCTTTTCTAGGAGGTATTTCAGTCAACACTGACAACGACATCACATCTATAAAACAGTTCATTAAAAAAAGTATTACCAAATACAAATATAGTTCATATAAAAAATTGCAATATATTGAAACTTTGGCACGCAGTTTCTAATTTCAATACTATGCACTATTACATGAAGCTTCACATTTCAGATAAATAAGCCGCGTAATTAACCTATTTAGATCAGATTGTTCCATAAAGAGAAATTAATTAATTGGAATAACGTTCATATTGTGTTGTAATCTAAAATTAATAATAATGTTTAAAATTAATTGTAAATATATGATTTATAATTAAATTTCTACAATGGATGTTTCACAAAAATAAGTTAATTTTTAGGGACATAAATTATATAAAAGTACCTAACAATATACCTAATTTGCAGCATTAAAGCAACAGCAAAGAACTTTTATTTTGCTGAGAATAAAAATCCGATAACAGTTTCTTGATAAGGTTTCGTTTGACAACTAAAGCATTTTACTGCTTGAAGGCTAAAGAAGTACATGAAAAATGTCCTCTGAATACATGAAAAATAACCTGGCATGAGATAAGTAGAGAAAGTCATCAGCCGGTCACCAAAACAGTGCAATAGAACAGTCGCGATGACAGTCATTGTGTTCCGCTGATGGCCATGTCCTCTTGCTCGGCACTCGTATCTAAATGCCCACACAAAACATCTGCAACAATAATTTCGGAATATTAATGTTATAAGATAGCAGGCAATACCGGTGCCGTTATTGATGCCGCTTCACTTACTTGTTCACAAAAACATCAAACGTAATAAACCGATTCGAGTTAATGATGTTTCATCTTTTTCATTCTGGCTATATTCTTCATTTAGAAGGAAGTGATAAAACATCCCAATATGAAAAATGTAATTATAAACTATTTTAATAGTATAACTTTTAATCTGTATATTTGCTCATATTAACATTCTACCAATATAACAAAAATGTAACTATGTCGCAAATATATAAACGAACTAATAAAAATAAAATACGTGAATACAAATCTTTGTACCGTGCGAGGAATCGAACTCACGACCATCGGATAGTAAAGCGGTATACTAAACCACTAGACCACCGTGGCTGTCAAATGTTATATAAGAAGTAATATAATCCAAATGGCATGAGAAAACAAACCTTTGAGCATAATTATCCGGAGACGGTAAAAGTAATTGGAAGTTTGGATTATCATTCAAATATTGTTTTGTAGTCTTTCCCAGTACCAATAATAAAGAAAGCGTAGTTGACATATTCATACCGCTGTCGCCTATATTAGAAAAATGACATATTTATTCAGATCAAAATTCTCAAACGAGATATACATGTAATATCTATATCTAGTATTTGTTATAGCTCAGAATCCAGCACGGACAATGTAAAAATTTAAATACTCAAAAATCCTTGCTTTAATTTTTTCATTAAGTGGTAGATAAAAAACAAATTGTTATGACTATTCAAAAGTGCCTAAATTAAGTTTATTTGAATAAATGATTTTCTATTCTATTCTATTCTATTCATTACATTACAGACTAAATCTATGTTCCACGACTTAATTAATTAGTTTAAACATAAGTAAAATATTTAACTTTTATGTGAAAATTTTTGTACCCTACTTTGATGTTTACAAAACCTTAACTTAAAATAGATGCTCTTGGGCATATTTATACTTTTACTATGTTTAAAATCTAAATATAGAACTATATAATAATCGATATTCTAATTTATTACATACATTATTTATTTCGTGTTAAAATATACCACACAATATGTTTGTAATACTAATAATTACAAACGTATGGTATATTTTAACAAGAAATAAATAAATATATACATACTATACTTAATTGAAAGTACCTAATTTTACATTATAATCTTGTGGGTCTGCTGGATTGATATCGTATGCTGGCAATTTCCTTTCAGGGAAGTAAGGATTGAAGCGGTAAAATATATTTTCAATAATATTTTCTTTCATCATTTCTATACCTGAAATTTATTTGAATATATACAACCATGGACGTTGATGTGAATGTAACACTTGTTACGACCACTCTTTGCTGGATATATTTGAACGCAACTTATCAGGCGGCTTGTTTTATGGGATGTATGTATTATTTTTCTTTTTGTCATATTTCTTATGGCGGGGCACCAGTGGTGGATTGTAAATTAAGCATGAGGTTCGGTTAGTTAGGCCATCGTGACAAAATCACCAAAAAATTATAACGATGGTTTCCAGGAGTTTCCGCGTGGAGATAAACCTGACATGGTACATTGCTAGCAGTGGGGATATTAGTCCACATTAATACCAATCCTCTTTCCCGCCAAATCTTTGGAGTTTCTCATATTGTAACATTTGACTTTCGCATGTGCCATCAGGGCACGACCATATTTTAATTTATTTATTAAAATAAGTTTATACAACATAACAATATAAACTCAATTCTTGAAATAAAGTGGTAAATAAAGTTGTAGTCGCTTACAATTATCAACATTATCGCAAGCCAGTAAGAGGGCCACCTCTAAGTAGGTCGAGTATCTGTGCGAGGTACTGACGGCTAACATTCTAACAATTGTCTGGTACAACACTGGTGCCGCTGCGGCGAGAGTATGCCGCAGTTGAGTAGCTCCGCGGCCCCGAGCATGGTCAGGTGCTGACAGCTGCCAGAGTATACCCTTGGAGACCAGATCGAATTGATCTTCATCGGCGATTTGCGTTAAAAGGTAACCTTCGCAACACAAAAAAGAATACAGCAAACTGAAAAATATGTAGGAAATACAATATTATGGGAACGTATATAATTTTGAATTTTATTTATGGCGTACCATTACAATTACACATAATCGATTATTACAGTATCAATCACACAAAAACATTTAACAAATACATAAAAAATCTAAGGGACATTAACGTTATACTATTGCTTTGAGAATATTTTTTGTGCAAAGAAAGTGACCTACAAAACGTAAAGCAACAGCAATAACTACCTATTTCCTAAGAATGTTCTAAAAGATTAAGAATTAAAACATTATTCTAAAATTAAATAGCAGAAATCTATTTCTAACCGTGTATGTGCTAAACATATTACCAAATAGAAATAAGAATTGCAGAAAATAAAATGGAATAAGTGTTTAGTAATAAGTAATACAGTAAAAGACCCAAAATATTTAAATAAACATTAGAAATAAAAAAATAACCGTGTTAGATTAAGTATAGTCCTTAAAAATCACTTTTATTCAATATTGTGTGTATGTATTCTATAGTTATAAGTGAAATGCACATAAAACAAAATGGTAGCAAGCCTGGAATTTAAAATCTGAGGAAGGGTCTCCTTTTGAGATATTCTTCTGTCGCAACAAAGTCGTCAAAGATCATTTACGGTTAGCACGCAAATATATTTATCAGTAGCTGGGTATTCTTACAATAAAAAAAAATAATTATAATACGTAACGTACGTACGTACATAATTACGAGTATAATATAAATAACATATAAACTATTGAGTAAAAGTGGACCGTTGCGCCCAATCACGTCTGGCACGTGGGGTCCATGTGACAACAGGCTACCTTAATAGGAGTAAAATCCTTTGAGTATTACTGACCCCATTAATGTTGTACATGTTAATCTAATTAGTATTCCTTGTGTTATTTGTAATTCTTTTAAGGAATTCATCATCAATATCAACCGTCCTCTTTGAACAGACCACTGATGGAATGTAGAAAGCTGTAACCTTGTCACAAATAGGAGAAATGTCATCATAATTATTAGGATTTATCATTTGCTTTATCAATTTTATTGCGGGATCTTTATAGTATTCCCTATGATTATAGGTGACAAATGACAATATCACAATGCAGTAACTATAGGTTTATACTTAAACAATACGTTAAAGGCAGAGACCTTTAGATGATTGATCTGACTGACTCATGAATAATGTAAATACAAGTATTATACAAGTTTGATATACGCTGTATATTATATTAATATATACATGCGAAGCTGATGTAGATCATATTTGGTAAATAAGGTTAAAAGTATGAAAAGCACATACCCAAAAATCCTAAATACTTTCTGAGTGGTTCAAAGTACGTCACAACATCCGAAGCAGCGTTCAATAGAATCGGTTTATCCATATTCTCCAGCAATAATTTCAATACTTCTTTTAACACTGAATGTTTATTTTGTGCTTCTATCACATAGTCTAACACTGTACATAGACTACTTAAAATATCAATTTTCTGTTCATTTCATAAGGATAATAAACATTTTTATGTATATATATAATATGTGTAGATACATATATATATGTATATCTTATAGATTAGATATATATATATATATATATATATTATATATTTATTACTAGATATTATTATTTAGGTTTCTTTCATTCTACTCCTCCGCCACTTTCTACCCACAGGCTGCTTGGTTGAGATCACTTAGGTAAGCAATAAGACCGCCTTTTATACCTATATTCTCTAAACATTCTGTTATCTTTTGTAATTTTTAAAAGATATACAGAATTTTTGGGTCTAAAAAAACTCAAAAATTAATGTTCCACCACAAAAATGTAAACAAATAATCCAAGACATATTTATGAATGCTACAGCTACATTTTCACCTATGGGTAATTTAAGTAATAAGATATGTATATATATATATATATATATAAACACCTCTTTGGGCACTTTGTTGATCACGCCACAACCTAAACACTTGCTGATTCCACCTTTTGCACTGAATAACTTGACCTCTATCGCGTATATCTCAGGCGGTATGGCAACGTCGCATTCTATTTTGCGATGCGGCCATATATATTCGTCGATAGTACGATATACTCGACACTTTTTTTACTAATAATTCGTGACTGAATGGCTCCGAACGGCTAAATTTTTGGTATACACAAAGACTTTTTGGCTCTGAATATATTCCAAAAATCAATTAATTATGTTGATCACTTTATATACTCGTCCTTACTGCGATACTTACTTTCATCCGAATATATATAGATACCGTAACGGTCTATCAATTATGACTTTATTAATTTACTAATGTAGATATTTTATATTCGCAATGCTCCATACATGCAAGCTCCAGCAACGGTGGAGGCAGGGGGGAGCACCGTACACCGCACCCCGCGCACATAAACAAATTAGAATAAATTAAATTCATAAGATTATTTATATATTTCGACTGCCTCGGTGGTCACACCGCTTTACATCCGATGGTCGCGGGTTCGATTTCTCGCACGATACAAACATTTGTACTCATCGGTCATCGATTGTTTTCATCGGTCTGGGTGTTTTATATGTATATTATATATGTATTTACAAAATAAAAATATCTATTTATATCAGTTCAGTATCAGTCTGTGTTAATTGTCCAGGGTTATTTATTATATTTTTATAAACGGTTATCTTTTTCCATCGCATCGCTCGCTATCGACAGTGAATTCATAGAAATGTCACTCTAAAAACAAAAATAGTTTTGTGTTTTGTATTTCAAATACTAAATGCAAAATAGGTATTTTCAAAATACTTTTTAAAAATTAAGTACCTTTTGAATTTTTGTCCAAACCTCAGATATTTTATTTATTTTAGGTATATCAATCATTACATAGTAATATAAAAACAAAGTCGCTGTCGCATCTAACAGTACATAAACAAAGAAAGAAGACTTTGGCTCTGATACCGTAACGGCCTATGAATTATGAATTTATTATCCTAATCTAGATATTTTATATTCGCAATGCTACGTACATTGTAATATCCGCCTCCATTCATTGTAACGGTGGAGGGACTAAATAGTTGAATAAAACTGAATAAGCAGTTGCTCCACTCTATAGGTACTGCGTCGTCGTCGTATGCTGTTCATTTTTTCACTCGTTTTGGCGCCAAGAGAGGGTCACATAGTCGTGGTCAAGTTAAGAACTTATAATTTAATTTTGATAACAATAGATACAAGTAAAAAGTAGGTATTATATTAATGTACGTAAGTACTGTACTTAAAAATATTTATTCTTTACTGTATGTACATTTGAAAAACTTAACACTTAAGGACTTGTACATATACACGTACATACTGCCATTTTCTCTTAAAGACATCCAGAGAAGCACTATTTATCAAATACGCGGGGTGCACCGACCTTTGACCTTCTAACACCTGATTCGCGCGTAACGAATTACATTGCTACTTTTTGGTATTTTATAGTGGATATGTCACTATAAAATATTATTATTTCTTTAGATTATGACTTAATAACATAGTTTACATGATTTTAAGGGAAACATACGATAAAAAAAAAATCCCGTAAAATGTAAAAGATAAAAAATGGTTATTGTTGGTTATCCTTAAGAGATAGACATATACCATCACGGACTTTTTTGTTGACCTTATTTTGATACATCTCAAAGCACTAGACAACACGCATTTTCATTAAACAGTATTGTATTTTTTTATTTCTTTAACTTTAATGCACAAAAAAATTTGTACATGTGGCGGACTTAATATTTTGCCGCGTTATTTACCAGGCAACCATGAGTGGTGCAGCGAAAGATTATTGGCGGTGCACTAATATAAATAAGAAATGTCAAAAAAAGATTTATAAAGATAATAAAGATAAGCAAAATATACATTTCTATAAAAAAATAACAATATACATACATAAATATATATCTAAATATAACCCATAAATGTATAAATATTATATATAATTATAAGTACAGTCTCAAATTGAAAGTAAGAAAATCAGAAAATATAGAGAGAACTATATGGATATAACAGAAAGATGTGAAAAAAGGAGAAGGACAGTAAAAAAGTTACAAATTTAAATAATGTTCCCGCAATTTCTGTTTAAATGAATTTATTACATTATTATATATATTAGGCATACGACTAGCCTTATGACTGTTACTTTTTTTTTAATCTATACATCTATACATGTAAATAAAATTGGAGTGTCTGTTTGTAATATTGAAATAACCGTTTTTTACTACTTGCATATGAATATAAATACGGTACATACACCAAAATAACATATTTTACAAGTTTTGTCTGTCTGTCTGTCTGTTTGTTCCGGCTAATCTCTGAAATAGCTGGACCGATTTTGACGGGACTTTTTTTGGCAAGTAGCTGATGTAATAAGGAGTAACTTACGTAATGTTATTTTAGAAAAATAAAATAAAATTTCACGCGGACGAAGTCGCTGGGGCCAGCTAGTCTATAGATATACCGAGATTTAATGTTTAAGTTGCTATTATGTTGTTGACAAAATTTTACTGTAATGTTACTATTACGTTATCCTACACAATTTGTATTATTTTGGATGAATAAATAAATAAATAAATAATAATCTATACATCTATACATTTAATAAAAATTGGAGTGTCTGTTTGTAATATAGAAAAAACCGTTTTTTACTACATGCATATGAATATATATAAGGTACATATACCAAAATAACAATTTTTATAATTTTTGTCTGTCTGTCTGTCGGTCTGTTTGTTCCGGCTAATCTCTGAAATGGCTGGACCGATTTTGACGGTACTTTTTTTGGCAGGTAGCTGATTTATAAGGAGTAACTTAGGTTACTTTTATTTTAGAAAAATAAAGTTAAATTCCACGCGGACGAAGTCGCGTGTACAGCTAGTTGTCGGTAGTCTAGCGATTTAGCTAGCACACTGCTTTGATTCCTGCTTGGTAGTCGAGGGTTCGATTCCTCGCACGCTGCAAACATTTGTATTCATGAGTATGATTGTTTGTAACGGTCTGGGTGTTTTCTATGTCTAGATAATATATATGTATTTACGAAAAAAAATCTTTGTATTTATATCAGTACCCATAACATAATCTTCAGCTAGCTTAACTTTGGTCTAGATGAAGCTGTGTGAATTGTCCTGAGATTACTATTATTACTATAATAAATCTTTTCAAATCAGCCGATGTTTATTTTTGCCATAATACGTGCTGTTACCATGTGATAATATTACGTACGTACTTATTAAACTATTAACTTATTATTAAATTGTTTGTAACGGTCTGGGTGTTTTCTATGTATAGATAATATATATGTATTTACGAAAAAAATCTTTGTATTTATATCAGTTGTCTAGTACCCATAACATAATCTTCAGCTAGCTTAACTTGGGTCTAGATGAAGCTGTATGAATTGTCCTGAGATTACTATTATTATTAATTGGTACACAGGTAAACTACTAACTAGGCCATATTGGTGTTGTTTGTTATGGTGAAAAAACTAGTAGGTATATATATAAGTTACACGTACAATTTCAAAGACTTATTTCTTGAAAACTACTGGCTATTCTGAAATAAAACTTTAGTGTTTGTATATGTAATGTTTGCATATAAAATATGATTAAAGGTTACCAGTGTATTTACACTTTTACTGAACAAACAGAGTTGTTTAATACTGAAAATATTGTGTGGAAGGCATCAATTACTTTCAGTGCATGTATAGCTTTTCTCTTTTCCTAATTATTATTATTATTAAGTTTAAAGTGGTTGAATTTTACGTAAGGGGTTTTTATACATTATTTCTAATGTACCATTTATTTTAAGTTTTTTAAACTCTATTCATCGAGACCTATCTAATGAGTCCAAACACGATATTTCTGCTGTAAGTTTTCGAAGAGTATGTTCATCATCTGATAATACTGGTGCCAGCATGAAGTCAAGGTTAACAGATAACTAATTACTTTTATTTCGTCAAAATCTTTAGATTACGTATAATAAATTCATAATATCGCTACCTATTCAAATCAAAACAAGTATTAGGTACTTCATGTACTAGTATATAAATTCATCAACACACAAGTAAATGATTTTTAAATATATTCAGAGCCAAAAAATCTTTGTGCATTTAAAAAAAATGCCGATACGGATTCACTATTGCAGGAAATTGTTGAAAAAATATATATCGAGTATAAGTATCTACTACTATCGACGAATACATTTGGCAACAACGCATGGTCTCGGCCGGAACGGCAACATCGCATATTAGAATACAAAGATAGTGATAGAAAGAGAGAGACAGTGGATCAGCAATATCTACGGATCGTGGCTGGATCAACTAAGTGTGCAAGTGTATATAAATATATATATATATATACATTTGTCTTTAATTCAAAGGAAATATAAATAATGAACGCATCACATTTAAAACAGTATAAATAGTTAATAATTTAATAATAAGTTAATAGTTTAATAAGTACGTACGTAATATTATCACATGGTAACAGCACGTATTATGGCAAAAATAAACATCGGCTGATTTGAAAAGATTTATTATAGTAATAATAGTAATCTCAGGACAATTCACACAGCTTCATCTAGACCAAAGTTAAGCTAGCTGAAGATTATGTTATGGGTACTGATATAAATACAAAGATTTTTTTTCGTAAATACATATATATTATCTAGACATAGAAAACACCCAGACCGTTACAAACAATCATACTCATGAATACAAATGTTTGCAGCGTGCGAGGAATCGAACCCTCGACTACCAAGCAGGAATCAAAGCAGTGTGCTAGCTAAATCGCTAGACTACCGACAACTAGCTGTACACGCGACTTCGTCCGCGTGGAATTTAACTTTATTTTTCTAAAATAAAAGTAACCTAAGTTACTCCTTATAAATCAGCTACCTGCCAAAAAAAATTACCGTCAAAATCGGTCCAGCCATTTCAGAGATTAGCCGGAACAAACAGACAGACAGACAGACAGACTAAAATTATAAAAATAGTTATTTTGGTATATGTACCTTATATATATTCATATGCATGTAGTAAAAAACGGTTTTTTCAATATTACAAACAGACACTCCAATTTTTATTAAATGTATAGATGTATAGATTATTATTTATTTATTTATTTATTTATTCATCCAAAATAATACAAATTGTGTAGGATAACGTAATAGTAACATTACAGTAAAATTTTGTCAATAACATAATAGCAACTTAAACATTAAATCTCGGTATATCTATAGACTAGCTGGCCCCAGCGACTTCGTCCGCGTGAAATTTTATTTTATTTTTCTAAAATAACAGTAGCGTAAGTTACTCCTTATTACATCAGCTACTTGCCAAAAAAAGTCCCGTCAAAATCGGTCCAGCTATTTCAGAGATTAGCCGGAACAAACAGACAGACAGACAGACTGTACTATGCTATACTATGTATTGATTGATATACCTAAAATAAATATAATATCTGAGGTTTGAACAAAAACTCAAAGGGTAATTTATTTTGAAAAAGTATTTTGAAAATACCTATTTTGCTTTTAGTGTTATAGTACTTTAACTGTTATGTTTTAAGTAACAATGTTTAATTATAATTAATACTACTGCACCAACACTCCGATCGTGCAAAAAAATTTGCTGTTTCATTATTTTTTAGTTCAATTAGTGGTCTACCTAAGTTCTGGGCTAAGGGGGGGGAGAGTCATGACGCCCCCATGACTCCCATGACCTCCATGACGCTCCCCCCTGGATCCGCCGTTGCGTCTTCTCTTTATTCGCTCAGTAACGTTGTTACAAAAGAAAAGTTTCCCATCCAAAAAATAACAAGTATTGAGGTTTGATCTGGAGTCACGTTACTCCAGACTGATTTCTATAAATATTTAGATTAGGTAGACTATTATTTTTGAAATACTAGCTAGACATTATTAAGTTACTGTAGCCATAATGTAGTAGCCCAAACGTGCCAATGAGGAAGCCCTTGGCAAATGCTGCACCCTGATTGGCCCGTTTGAATTGGATCAAGAACTGCTCGTATGCCAAAAAGGTGGATTTGTATAAAATCGTGTATAAATCGCTTAATTATTATTATTACTCGTCGTGACAGTTGTGGCTCAAAACGGATCAACATTTATATATGGTCATCTGGCATTAGATCAACAAAAGGCCTCCGGATCAACAAGTGAAAAAGGATCAACAAAAAACTACCTATACGGCACGTCTGAGCCACAAAGTGCCCAAGGGGATATTTATATATATATATATATATATACAGATAACGTTGATAACCACCACTACGTATATGTAATCTCAAGCTAAACAGAGTTTGAGTTATGGGTAGGTACTGGGCAGCTATTATCGATCCTTGTTTTGTAAATACATACATATTTTAAATTGAAAATACCTAAACAGGTACAAATAATCATACTCTTGAATACAAATAGGTATTGTTATGTCTGAGAAATCGCATCCACAACCATCGAAAGTAAGGCGGCGAGCTAAACCGCTACAGTTAGGTTAGGCCGTTTAAAAGGATACATAACCATTACAAGATATAGTGGACAGATCCCGCAAATGATTTTCTAGCCGGTCGATTTGGTTATTTACCGTCGAATCTGTAACTAGAAACTCCAATTTCTTTACGATCTCCCAACTGTACAAGAGCGGGCAATCAGCGTTCCATTTGCGGTCTAAAAAGACAAATATGCTATACCTGTACGTTCTAGTTTTACTTCCTTATTCACAAAAACATCAAACGTCTTATAAACCGAGTCGAGTTAATGAAGTGTTTTATCTTTTTTATTCCAGCAATTTTTTTATCAAAAGTAATCGATAAAATACTCCAATATTAAAAATTAAGTTATAGAAGATTGTAATAAAATAGATCTATAATCTATAATTTTTTATCAGTATTAAGGCAAACCTCTTAGCATACCACCAACATAACGAAAATGTAAGCGTTAAAATTGAAGTATCTATTACGAAAATAGGACAGTATGTATCGTTTAAATTTCACAAATATATAAACGACGTAGGTATGTATCCAATGATATAAATAATCATAAGGACATTTAAGCTTTAAACTCAGTTGAACGTTGACCACTGGTATTAGTAAACTTAATGTTAGTTACGAGGCCATTAGCGTAAAAGAAATTAAAAATAACACCATAATACCACGCCAGTCTAAATCACTGGACTACCAGCCATCAAAGGATATGTGGGCAAAGGAAAGCGCGTTTCTATCATTAGAAGGACAATCGTCTCAAGGCGCACTTTCTATAACAACGTTGAATGTTGTTTGAAATTAAGAGGTCATCCTTACTGTGTCGTGGTAGACTGCAATATCTGAGTTATTTTATTATTTATAGACTTCTTATATCCACTGTACATGAGGTAGACTCCGTAAAAAGTCGCCTGCATGTATACCTATATTTTAACAGCTAAGCCGCTATAATATTAGACTGTGTTACAGTTGAAAACTTAGATACAGCATACTGAGATTCGACATCTTAGTCATCCAGAATTGCAACGCATGAGGGGTTAACTTATAGAGGATAGTTGCTTTTTAGTAATAACACATAACCCCAGGATAAATCACACCGACACATAATCCCATGCCAAGCGAAGATTTGTTATAGGTATCAGATTTTTTTTTGTAAACACATATATGAACAAAGAAAACACCCAGACAAATACAATCGTTCTCATGAAAACAAATATTTGCACTGTTCGAGGAATCTTACCCGCGACTATCAGATGCAAGGTGGTCTACTAAACGCTAGACCACCTAGGTCGTCATGGAGACTACCACTGCAATAAAATTCATTATCAATTCAATTAATTATTAGACTTGATCTACTATCACATAAACTTATTTACTTATTGGCAAAGGATCTAAATTCTTCAAGAGATTCCTTCTCATCTTCCCCTTAGCTGTGTACTGTTTTCCTTCGGGCCCGTGTATACAGCGGAAACTGTCAGATGAGCTTGATATTGATTCCAAGTGTCCCAAATATTCCTCCTTTGTGATTCTTTCAGGTACTTTTCCATATTTCTCAACGCGAAAGAATTGCGTGTGTGATGTACTTTGAGAAGCACTACAATCACCCTTCCCTTTGTTTATTAGTACATCGGTTTTTTTTTCCTTTCCTCGACCAGATTTTGACGACGTGAAAGTAGATCGCTTCTTTTCCATGACTTGAAATCGTTATATTTATTAGTATTTGTTCAATATTTGACAAGACTTTCATTTGTGAATGTCAAGACAATAATATATATGAAATATTATTTCATGAAAGATATTCGAACTTTTTTATCTTGACCTACTTATATTATCATAAATATGTTGCCGGTTACCTGTGGGTCACCTAAAATAAAATAATGGGATTTAAATAAATAAGGGAAATACTTTTGTTATACTGTTATGCCTTCTGGTAACACTCATGCGTTACCACACAGGAGGACTAATAAGTGCATGTATTACGAAGACAACTTTTCACCTCGTCAAAATATTAACTTGTAATTTAGGATTAAAATATATTTGATCCATCAAAAAAGAGACTATATTTTTTGTCTCGATCACGACAAACTGTTGATTACATCTAATAATCATCTTCTTTCAACCATAATAATCATTTACTTTAAGTATTTATTGTTCTTGGACAAGTAGCGATTGTGTTTCTACTAAGAAAATTCATAAAAGTATTAAGTTAAAACATGTAGAAGTACACAATAACGTTAACAATAACGAAAGTATTGGCACACAACATTAACAATCTTTAATTGTTTGTGATAAATTGAGGAAACAGATGTCGTTTGCACGGTAAGTGGAATTAGATTATAATGTAGTAAGCGCAGCAAATCGGTCAGGTCCCCCACGCGGGCGCAGTCTGCTGAATTTATCCGGCTCCAGGGACCAACGGCGAGAATATGGTATGAGTGACCGAAACCCATACGGTGGCGATGGCGGCACGTCGGTGTGCGCTTCGCTGACGTTCCTCGGTCCGCTAGTCGCTCGCAGCGCTCCAGTAGCGCCGCACCATCACTAGACTTTGAATGTGTTGCGCCTATTGCGTCAACCCAATGTTTCACATACGACAATTCATTAGTTTTCCAAGCAAGAAAACCGAGTGAAATAAATATTCGTATTCCGTAGTTGTTTAGTGAGATTTGGCACAAGTGTTTGGTACGGGGATTTTCATTGGATATCGGTGAGTACTAATCCGTTTATTTAGTTTAGTCGAACTTACAAACCGTTTTGTTTATTGACATTGTTACATGTGATAATGGAATTTTGGCGGAGGGTTCACTTAACTACTAATTGAAATATATAAATAGGTACAGTACATTAGATTATAAGACCTCATCTGAAAATACACAGCTATGAAACATTGAACCAAATAGATGTCAAAAAATATTTATTTAAACAAGTTATAAAAATATTTTATCACTGACTTAATAAATAGAAACTTCTGGCTCCAATATTAAACGCCTATTGTATTTAAAAAAAAACTAGATACTAAACAGGTAGATGCATATCTAGTTAGTTTCCATTTACTCACAAATGAAAAAAAACTAGCAAAATACCTACTACTTTGGGGAAAACAAATTATACCTAGTATACAATGGTATTTAGACAAATTAGAGGTAGGTGAATAACCATGTAAATGACGTTTATGTATGGTGACGTAAGAATTGTCTAGCTCATATGTACCCGTTGAAATGACGAGACCTAGGACATTTTTCAGATTAGCAAATGAAATTTATCTTAACACTGGTAATAGCTTTTGTTTAATTAACTTTGAGATGAAAATTATTATACGTAAATATATATATATATATATATTGTGCTGCATTGTATGGTTCACTGTTCATAAGTCAATATAAACGGATGCATACCTACTCAGTCAACTATTTACTTTAAAATTACTTCAAATATTGAAAAATCATGGTAAGCAAACTGTATGGTAATATACCTACTAAACCTAGAATGTTAAGATTTTCAGTATATTATAATAATTTAAAAGTTATATAAATGTAATAAATAAAAATAATATAATGCAGCTGTTATAAAAGGAGGGTTATGGAAGATCCCTCTATTTGCGACAAAGTGTATTATTTATTAATTTATTCTTCCCAGATGTTTAGTAGCGCAATGTAGTTATTTACAATTTTGTAAAAGTTGAAGAACTTACCTATTGTCAAATAGTTTAAACTAAAGGGTTTATTAGAGGGAATAAGATTCCATGTAAAGGCAAAACAAATTAAAAAATAAACCATTGTACTCATAGAAAGGATGGCAGTTTGTACCTACTGCCAGCTTATAATCCAATATATTTATTATACAGTTGAAAAAAAAATGTTTTAAACAATCAGTTTTTCCATCCATAATTATGCCTCTTCTCAGTTTTTGAGGTAAAATTGACCGACTAAAACTTTATAATTCTGAGTTCATATATGTAATATGTATAATGTTTATAAATATGATGTACTATATACAATAATAATAGGAGGACATAACTGGCAAAGTAAGCACCCAGACTAATACCTGAGTATTTTCTATGTAATCTATTTGCACAAATTTAGCCATGTGTTGACTTTTTATTAATCCCTGTGAGTAGTATTGACTGTCTATATGTTATCTTGGCCATGTTATAATAATTTTACCTCAATTCCCTAAGAACATATAGTACGCGCCATTTCAAAGAAATGCTTTCTATAAATATATTACTTGATTACCAAGCTCACTTACGCCACTCTCTGTGCATGCTGTAATGCTACCAATACCGATATATTCTTAATCAATTTCAATTTACTCAGTACCTACCAGTACCTACTTTGTATTGAGTAAGTTGTTGCAATATTCTACACTTTATAAATGAACCCGTCACCTACCTGTATAGATACAAAAGAGTTAATTTTTTCTTATGAAATATTTGTTGTAGGGCTGCATATACTTACTGTTACTTTATTTGAATATTTCGACGATAATTTGTAGGTATATGTATCATGAATAGTCTTACTACCTAATATTATAAACGCGAAAGTTTGTGAGTATGGATAGATGTTTGTTACTCTTTCACGCCAAAACTACTGAACGGATTTTGATGAAACTTTACAGTAATATAGCTAATACATCATAATAACACTTAGGCTATATTTTAAAAAGATATTATGTAAATTGGCCATATAATAATAATGCAGAGCAGGTTGCGCGGGTCAGCTAGTACTTTAAAATTTAAAAGCAGAGAGTATAATAATAAAACTTGCAATAATATTGGATAAACGTAGGTTAACCTTCGCTACTTTTTATTGTTTGTTATTCAGTATTCGCATCCCTCTTACTTTCTGAGTGGAAAATTGTTACCTGTACAATACAGATAATAGTACAACCATATAGATAATAATAACTATTTGATACATTAATAGCTAATATTATATATAAGCCTTATACGATTCCTTCATGTACATACTATAGTACATATGAGATAATACTTGGCTTGGAAATATTGTAAAATATATAAATGGAGTAATTCTGTTTTCATTGTAAAGGAAAATATCGTTCGGTAACAAATACCTAATGCAAAGAATATATATTCCCTAATTGCCAAAAAATAGCTAACAAAAAAGTCTTTATCAGTATAAATACTGATTGTATGTTTTGGATTTTAGTTGAAATGATTTTGTTTACGTGAAATCCGAAGTACAAGTACAAGTTTCCAATTAATTTTAAATAGTACTAGACATGATTATGGAACAAAAGAATAGACGAGATTTTAAAACAGAAATAAATTTTAAAATATATTTTGCTTGCATTTCAAAAATCACATCGAACGAAATAGTAAAATCAAAGTTTTTGTTACTACGACCCAGGACATAAACTAGGATCCTGATAAGAAAATATTCGGCAATGTAAATGTATCTTTAGTCTGACCTCAGACTCGTGGTATCCTTCGAGCTGGAGTTAGATGTTTAACACTTCGTAATCCCAATTGTTGCTTGGATTACTAAACCCACCGCTACCCTGCCTTCGAATTACATAAGGTAATTTGAAAAAAAGCAAATATACTTATTTATATAAGTTACTCTGTCCAATTGTTATATCCATTATTTCCATTACAACTTGTTAAAGTTTTATTTCAGTTTCGCTTGTTATTCAGTAATAGGTATTCATTATTTTGTGCCGAGCTGTTATTGTATATAACTAGTTATAAAAGAGACTGTTTACACTTCTTTAATGTAATACATTTGAACGTCAACGTCAAAAATTAGCAGATATTATCACTGTACGTGTGTATACATACATGTGTACATACTTATACAATTAGTATGGATTTAAAGAACATTGCATATTCTAATTAGGTAACGTCATAGTGCTACAAAAATACCCGATTGTATTGTTCTTAATATCTACGATAACGAATCGTATTGTTTTACGCTACTTACAATATATATTTACTGTATACATATATATTATATACACACACAACGTATATCCTACATTGACGGCCATGGAGGTCTAGCGGTTGTAGCACATCGCCTTACTTTCGATGGTCGAGGGCTCGATTCCTTGCACGGCACAAATATTTGTATTCGTAAGTATGTCTCTATCGGTCTTTGTGTTTTCTATGTACAATATGTATTTAAGAAAAACCATTATTAAGTTGTAGCTGAGTTGTAATTCAAATCTGATAAGTTTGGATATAAAATCTCAACGAAGACGAATATCTCAAATATGTTATTGTGATAAATGGATTACTTACTACAATCACCAAATACTTTCTTCGTATCTGCTGTGAATGTTTTATCAAGGCATTATATTTTTCTATTTTTGTTTAGCACAGCGCCTTACTTCCGATGGCTGTGGGTTCGATTTCCCGTACGGTACAAACATTTGTATTCAAAAGTATAATAGTTTGTATTGGTCTGGGTGTTTCTCTATAGTTTCGTGTGGGTGTAGTTTAATTTAATTTACTTAACAAAGTAATTTCTTCTACAATTTGCATGTGTTTTTGTTTTAATGCGGTATATATAGCAAACAATAAATTGCAGACGGTGAAATGTTGCAGCTGCTAGGTAGTCTGTATACACGAATGACTTTAGTGTAAACCATTACACTGAGAATACTTTATCTTATCAAATCTTTGATAGAAAGAAGGCCACCAAAAATATTTATTTTAGAGTTATTCTTACAATAACATCTATAAATAACATCTAAAATATCGGTACCATACCTATATAACAGTTTATAAAGATGTTATTAACCTACGCATAAAGGTAAACTGATTTTAATGGATTTTTGGCACAGACGCAATATCTTGGTTATACTATATAGAACACTTATAGCCTAAAAATGTTTTCGAGAGGTAAATAACCAGTAACATACACAATACCGCAGGCATTATAGAAGCATCGAAGTCTAGCAAATCTTAGTTTCGATTTATCACATAAAACACTAAACAAATAATCGCTGTCTTATATTATTATATATATAAATATTGGTGTAATATTAATTTGATCACGCAACTTTGCATTATACTAGGTTATATTTAATTTTAGGCCTACGAACACGCAAAATTTAGGCTAGAGAACTTTTAGCAATTGTAACATAGTAACTAAACTATTTCCAATCACAGTAAAATAGGAGTGGTTGCCAAATTCTATAATAAAATGGAATATCTTGGAATGCATGTACGTAGATGGTGCACTATACATATAATCAAACAAACATACTGAAAATCTAATTTTGCGAGATTGAAATTAATAATATTATGACGCGCATCGTCATTATTAATTGGTATAAACAGTCATCTGGAAATCAATGAATTTAAGTCTGAAAAGATGTTTCCAGTGAGGAACTTTTAGATTTAAATTCATGTTATCATAACCTTATAGATATATCATACATAAACTTAAATAATTCAGGTATATCCTATTTTTCATACGAATTGAGTCCTATTTTTCGTACAAATATATATATATATATATATATATATGTAAAAGCTTTAGGATCCATACTGAAGCATTAAAAATATATTAATATATATTAGTAAGATTATAAGTACCTTTCCACGTGACGCAGCAGTAGTTAATCTGTTATCAAACCATCATAAGTGACATGTCGCTGTGATGATTGACGTGTTAGATTAGGCGATATGATGCTAAGAAAACCCCGATCTCTCATGATATATTCTCTCCGCAGACGATAGTG